CAAAAACATTGAAAATACGCAAAGTGGGCCTTTAATTATAGATTTTAACTCATCACTTTAAGGCTATCATGAATGTGATTAAAGTATTAAAGCTTTTTGAGACATGTATACAACAGTATTGTGTACAGAAATGGCTCGATTGTACCAGTAAGTGAATTTACCTATTATCGTCCAACCATTTTTTCGAATAAATTATATTTTTTCTTGATTTTTGTTACTCAAGTTGGCAGAGTCTTTCATGAAAATCCAGGGTTTGCATTTATCAATGTGCGTCTTTTAGAGAGAATATGGTAGTATATAGTATACATGCATTAATACTGAGGTGAAGGCTGTATATTTCTTTTATTGCCAAAAGTGTCAGAGCATAACCCATTAGTCTATGTACAAACTAAAAAACTAAAAACTAACTAACTACAAACTATGAGAATAGTAGTAGTATGTATAAAATTAACTCTAAAATAAAACTATAAAAAGGAAGTACTTAAGTGACTCCAAGCCTATTGCTTTTTATGTTTCTTATATATCCAAACAAAATAAACAACTTACATTACTCCTAATGTTTCATTTACTTGTTGAACCATGATCAATATAGATAATATAAATTGACATTTCAATTTCTCAATTAGTGGGCCTTTTTGGGCATAACTTGGCCTTTTTGGGCCTTATTAGGCCAAATTATCAATAAATGTGTTTAAATTTTCAAAATGTGGGCCTAATTTGGGATTTAGGGGCCCAAATTTTTTTTCTGATTTCAGATGTGGGCCCCTTGTTAGCTTCTTGATTCCCACTGTATTTCTACCACAATCATGCATGCTCTTGTATGTCTGGTGCATTTTAACCAAGCAATGTTGAGATAGATTTGATAAAACTGCCTTATTTTGATCATGGCTTGATATGTCTTATACAGGGTCAGTGTGTGTTGATAGCATTAAGCCTCAGTCACATTTGCTTTACAGCAGCCGTACGACTGCCATAGCTTCACAAAATCGATATAGAAAATCTACATGGTGCTGCTTAATTCTTATATTTTATGCTGCATATTTCTTTCTATTTTGGGAATTAATATATAAGCGCAATTGCCAACTATTTTGAGAAGCTTTGGTCGTGGTATGGTTGCCATAGATCATTACATTACTAGTATCCCGAACATGTTGTCATTTCAATGCTTAATATTACAGTAGCTTTTTATGTCACAACCAAAAAGTGGTGACATATTGTTATGGTCTCCGTTTTTTATGTCTCAACCAAAAAGTGGTGACATATTGTTATGGTCTCCGTTTTTTTATGTCACAACCAAAAAGTGGTGACATATTGTTATGGTCTCCGTTTTTAGTGACAGCGGTTGGCGATCATTGGTGGTGTCTGTAACAAATGGTGGTGACATTTTGCATTTTAATGCCTTGTTAAATATATACAAATGCTTGTACAAATAGAGTCAAATATTTCAGGATGAAAGTACATCTAAATGCTTCTGCCATTCTACCAACCTAAAATCCTGAGTTATTCAAATCATTCTCCAATCATTCGCTAAATCCATGAAAACTTAATCTGTATATCTTAATCTGTATACTTAATCTGTAAATGTAGTAATCAGACTGATATAGATTTAGATAATCCAGATATTTGTCATGTCTGCTCCAACCGCACTAAGAAAAGTTTTGTAGATTAAACGTACGAGGTCAAGTAATTTCCTATGAATCGATCAATTTACAAATCATATAGATTTGCTTATTCAAGATAAACACAGAAAATGGATTTAATGTACCTATGTAAACATCATCATGGACTTAAAATGGATCAAAATGGATTAAAACCTAAAGGAAATGAATACCTAGTATGTAAAAGCCCAGAAAACCCCGAATTTCGGAAAAATTACTCTCAATTTTTCAAATTTTAAGTTGAGAAGTATGCAATACTATAGCCCCGTTCTTCTCCATCTTCTTGTAAAACTTGCTTTGCCTTAGCTTTGTTTATTCTAGTATACTGCCATTTTGAAACAACCTATGTATGCAGTGATCTCCCCATGTCACTTTTTACCACCCCCCCCCCCATACTTGAAACCAAATGCCATCCAGTTGGCAGCCTGCACTTCAACTTCTGATTTGAAAAATAAGTGAAGTAAGCAGCCACCTGGAGATATCGTGAGCGAGTGCCGATTTTTTTAGGCTTGAAAAATTGCACCCAGTTGAAAATTTTTTTTGGGAGAACACTGGTATGTATGTTGATTAACCATTCCATATTATGTAGACAAACAAGAGAGCATGGCATTTCTACATAACATAGGGTGGAAATTTAATATTGTAACATCGGGATCCATGTATCTTTAGCAGGCCTGTAGCCAGGGGTCCGATGAACCCCCCCCCCCTGGCCAAAAAATCTTTCAAAATCATGCAGTTTTTCACCTTTCAGAGCACTTTTTAAGTGATTTTGGCCATTTTTGGACCACATTGTCTCAAGTGAACCCCCCTGGAATTTTTCAAAAAGTGACCCCCCTTGGCAAATCCTGGCTATGGGCCTGCTTAGTATGTATATATAGAGGCCTGCAATACTTGTATTTCCAATTATACAAGGGCCGATCAAAAACTTTTTGATGGGCCCTTGTATATAAGATGTCCATGAAGTCTTTTGATACACAGACGTTGTATTATAGTTGTAAATAAACTTATGGACACCATGTATTATATGTACAGTACATATTGAGTAAAGGGAGCAACTCAGGGTAAGCGACTGAAGTAGTGCTACTCAGTTTGTGTTACTCAAGCTGTGTCTCTTGAGTACTGCTACTCTATATGCACTACTCGAGGTATGCCACTCAAGTTGTGATGCTAAATATATTTTTACTCAATATATACCATTCATGTAGTCCAAACTCAAATTGTAACATACAATAAAACCTGTGTACTGTTTATAGAATGCCCCCAATACTTGCCGGAATTGTTCCTTGAGACATGTTCTTCTGTGCAGGTTTTGATGTATGCGAAATGAATCATAAACAGCATTAGCTTTTGCTTGTATAATGTGGAGTTGTTTGTTTGTTTGTGTGTTTAGTAAACCAAGTGTTGTATCTTCCCTGCCTAAGTATAACCAGCAGTAAGTATTAAACAACCCATTTGCTTTAAGCAGTTTCATCCGTCTGCAGTGGGTTGTTATTTTGTACGATTTCTCTCAAAGATTTGAATGAAGTGTCTGATTTTCTTAGTTATTCAAGAAATTGTAAGCATTGGCTTTACTTCCATTCATGTCTATTATATACCTTATCGGACTCCTTTTCTTAACAACGTGGTAATAAATTCAAAAGATATGATTCTGATTTTCTTACTATATTCTCCACTTGACTATCTCCTTAAATGGGTCCAAAATTCTCAAAACATTTTAACAATTTGACCAAAATTAGTTAAATATGCCATTCATGCATTTTCTCAAATTCAATTGATCAACCTATTTTGAAAATTCCACGATTGTAGTAGGTGCAGGCACATATTCCAATAGTGCTGGAGAGATTGTTATTCCTCCCTCCCCGTTAAATCTTCAACATTACTATGGAGAAATATTAAGTATAAGGGGAAGACTACAATTTGTACAATTGAGATAATAATATAATCCACCCTGTATCTTATACTACCCACTCTTAAATCTATCACTACCTATTTAAATAATTACTTGATAAAATCAGACACTTCAAATCTTAGAGATTTTAATAAGTTTTGAGTCATCTGAGTTCTGAAAGCTGATTGGATGACTCAGGAATCATGTGCCCAATGAGTTTTGAAAGCTGAAAGCTGATTGGATGAATTGTGAATCATTTGACCAAAGAGTTCTGAAAGCTGAAAGCTGATTGGGTAACTCAGAAAAAGACCGAATTAGCATGTACAAATATTTGGATGCTCTAGTATTCAATTCATTTGAATACTTCAGCAATACATTCTGTGGTGGATTTATTTTGGAATCTATGCAAGTTATTTTTTCTGAGATAAATCTGATATCCCCAGAGTCTTGAATAAGTGTTTTCTTTTAGGTTATTTCCCATAGTAATTTGGTACTTATTTTAATTTTCTTTTCACAAAAATTATGTTATATTTATGTTACAAGAGATTGATTTTGGTTGACATATTTTATTTAGATTAATGACACATTTAGTTAAGGTAAATAAAGACACAAATTAAATAATTAAATATGTAGACCTACTCTTTATTTTCTGCCAGTTAAATAACTGTTTATACTTAGAATAAGTCTTAACCCACTATAGTGTTAAGGTTTTCCCAATAACCCGAAGAGGATGATTCTCTTAAAATGATGTATGACATTACATACTATATAAATATTGAGTAGATTTTCATGTAGATGAGCTGTCATTATTTCTTGACACCATGTACATATTTACAATGATGAAAACAAATTTTATCTCATTTTCATGTGATTTTTATTACATCGGGGACTGAAAGGCAACATTTTAATTCTGGTCAGATTTTCTCCTCATAATATGAAACAAATAAAGATTAGAATAATATTCTGTTGCTACTTTCAGCCAGGCTGGGACAAAATAACAATGTTTTATTTCTCTAGAAGTAACTTACAGAAGTGTCCACCCTTGTTTGTTGAATTTGGATAAAGATTGGAGATATATTATATCCCACCCTGTATTTGTAGATCACATGTCTGTGAACAATTTAAAAGTGCCATTCGTTTAAACCAATGCTCATGAAATTCTACGGGGTGTCCTGCCCATAATTCACACCATTATCAGTCCTGTGGTACCTATGCTTGTCTCAATTTGTAGAATGGGACTTTATTAACAGAATGGTGCTTTTTGAAGTTAAGTTTTTGCGAAACACAAAACAAAAACAAAAACTATTACATTGTACTTTATTGATGTTTGATCTGGCCTTTTAGATAACCTTATACAACATTCTTCAATTTGAAGGGCTAAATAATGATAAGATTCGAAATATTGTACCAAATCATCTGAATACAAAATTAAACGTTATTTTGTATAATTTCAGACAAATGACGACGACGAGTGCTAACCAGTCTCTGCCAAGCCCCCTCCTTACTGTATTAGCCGAATACAATAATTGTAGTCAACACAGAGGGCTAATTCTTCTCCTTAGCTCCGCCCTACAGTGTATAACGCTAAAATGCCCCACAGCCATGGTATGGAACTACTTAGGAGAAGGAAAAAGTTCGAGTCCATTTTGCGGGTCACCATTAGATATGTTACCGTGTGCGCCATCTAGTTTACCAATGCCCCCTGGGATTGAGAATGCCCATATAAGGCAAGGGATTAGAGCAGCAGAGCAGTTGATTTGTCAGAGGAGTCAGGCGGTTGAAGCTCGATGGTCTTCTGATAAATGTCAACAGTCTACTGCAGGTAGGTTGAACATTTTTGTATACAGTAAAACCTGTCTTAGTGAATGCCTCTCTCTAATGAACACCTGTGTCTGAGTGAACACCTGTCTTAGTGAACACCTATAATTTAGAGTGAACCATTTGATTTATAGGTTGGACTTTTTGTATACAGTAAAACCTGTCTTAGTGAATGCCTCTCTCTAATGAACACCTGTGTCTAAGTGAACACCTGTCTTAGTGAACACCTATAATTTAGAGTGAACCATTTGATTTATAGGTTGGACTTTTTTTTGTATACAGTAAAACCTGTCTTAGTGAACGCCTCTCTCTAATGAACACCTGTGTCTAAGTGAACACCTGTCTTAGTGAACACCTATAATTTAGAGTGAACCATTTGATTTATAGAACACTAATATGCACCTGTATTGAGATATACAGTAAAACCTGTCTTAGTGAACGCCTCTCTCTAATGAACACCTGTGTCTAAGTGAACACCTGTCTTAGTGAACACCTATAATTTAGAGTGAACCATTTGATTTATAGAACACTAATATGCATCTGTATTGAGATATACAGTAAAACCTGTCTTAGTGAAAACCTCTCTTTAGTGCACACCTGTGTCTAGTAAACACCTCATCTCAACACATTCTCAACTGAGTTCTGTATAAAATTGCCTCTCTGTAGTGAACACCTACCCACAGTAAACACACTTTTGTGAAACCATGGGTATTCACTGTACACAGGGTTTACTGTATTTATATGTTTAAAAATAAAACCTTGTGATGTTTACAGTAACATGTAAAGGCTAAAAAGAGGAATTAGATTAAAAGGTTGAATTTACATTCATGCTGTTTTAAAGTAATAGTAACAAAAACTAAAGTAAAAAACTTTTATTTAAGTGCATATGTATTTAGTGGCTGTTTATTTTAGTTATTAAGACCAAGAAAAAATAATCACATTTTTTTTCTAAATCGCAACACTTTCAAGAAAAAGAGTTGACTTGCCTACATTATTGGCAGAATCTAATCAAAATTTTAAGGTTTAAAGAAGCAAACACTTTTTACTACTTCATTGTTTTTTAAAAAAGCTGAAAAAAAAATGACAATTACTAGTATTACCAGTCTTAAATTTGAACTGACCCGCCTTGCTAAAGATCAACTGTTTATACAAAATAAATCAATGGTATGCAAATACATTGAATACTGAATAAGTAACTGTACAAGGTATTATCAGTTATCACACGTTTCAGCATGTGATACAGGAAATCATCCACGAAGCAAAGCTTGAGGATACATTGTTAACGGAGTGGAATATTTCCTGTATTACATGAGCTGAAACATGTGATGATGATTTTATCACATGTCTAGGACTTTTTAAGTATTCTGATTTTGTCAATTGTGAATACTCTGTACTCTGTAATTTTGATACTAGTAACTGTATTTTAAGTTATTGAATGATTTGAAGTGCAATACAGGATATATTCTGCTCGAGAAATTCTGTATTGGAACGAGACAAAGTTGAGACAAAGTCAATAATGTTTTTATCATGTGATCTTCTGTATTGCTACTGAGATTGTTCCCTCCATACCAATATTTTCTGTATTGCGACGGAGATGATCAATGGGGACAATCTCAGTAGCAATACAGATTGGTACAGCACAAGAACTGATCAATCAGAAGGCTTCATTTTACAGATCATGAGATTTTGCTCCGGAATAATATGACGTCATACCGTTGTCTTTGTACTTGTCTGTGAAATAATACGATGTCATACTGTTGTCTTCAGCTATGAAGTTATATAATCAGTGATGTCATATCATTGCTATTGGCTCTGTAGTGATACAGTCCATCGTATCACATGAAAATTAGTCACGTGTCATTTGATACGGAATATGCATCACCCGATTGACCAATCAAAATGCTTAGAAACTCCTAACCATGTGATAAGAGTCCATATGACCGTAGAAAATATAATTATTGTTTAAAACATGCTTTTAAGTTTCAGGTACAACCATATCCTGAGTGCTGAACTTTCTAGATTTATTAGATCTGTTAATAACTACTAATTACTGTTAATTGTTGTTTAAAACATGCTTTTTGGTTTCAGGTACAACTATATCCCGAGTGCTGAACCTTCTAGATTTGTTAGATCGTCAGAACTTTGAGATTGCAGATAGTAGTTTCCCACTAGACAGTCTTTACTCCAAGATGTTTAATTCTCCACAGGCTAAAGACTGTAATGATGTAAGTAAAAGGTGTTTTAAAATGCAAATTAAGGTGAGGAAGAGTGGAATAAGCAAGGAATAAAGTATACAGACATGCAGTCAACACTCTAATTTGTACAGAAATTAAACAAAATGAGGGGCTTCGTTCAAATTTTGAAAAGAAATTGTGAAATAGAACTAGTTTCTTACTCTAAGATATTCAATTCTCCATAGGCCAAATACTGTCACCATTTGTGTCACCAACACAAAATATTGCAAGTGACATATTATTGACCCTTTTCTAAATCATTCATTTTCTCAAAAACACAAATAAAGGTGACATGAATTTAATCTCTATCGAGTTAAACGGTTTTATGACATATAGAGCCTCCAAAATGATGCATTACTATAGCATTGTTGTTTTCTATGAGGCAAATACTACACTTAGTCTTTCAATTAAATGTCATGATCAATGAGTATATCCTCCCAGAGCTCAGAGTAGTTTTGTCATATGTATGTACAGGCCCGTTGCCACCTTTTGCTATGGGGGTGTTCAATTTTCAGAAAAATTCCAGGGGGATAGGGGAAAGGTGAAGTAACTTAGTAGATTCTATCAACCCGTCTGATTTCGGAACGAAATCTTATCTACAAATTAGGAGGGGGGAAAGGTGAAGTAACTTAGTAGGTTCCATCAATCCGTCTGATTTCGGAACAAAATCTTATCTACAAATTAGGAGGTGGGAAAGGCGAAGTAACTTAGTAGATTCTATCAACCCGTCTGATTTCGGAACAAAATCTTATCTACAAATTATGAGGGGGGAAAGGTGAAGTAACTTAGTAGATTCTATCAATCCGTCTGATTTCGGAACAAAATCTTATCTACAAATTAGGAGGGCGGAAAGGTGAAACAACTTAGTAGATTCTATCAATCCGTCTGATTTCGGAACAATATCTTATCTACAAATTAGTAAGGGGAAAAGGTGAAGTAACTTTTTCATTTTTCATTTTTCCTGTGTGTTAAAGCGAAAACCAAAGCCCTAAAAACAATCCAAATTTTGAAATGAAAAAATTTGCTTATCAGTTACTTCTATCAATAAAGCTTTCAACTTTTCATAAATAATTCATTTCCATTCATGATATTACAATACAATATGTTCTATTATCGTATGATCTGTAAAATGAGGCCCTCGGATTGGTCAGTTTTTGTGCTGTACCAATCTGTTTTGAGACCTGTCACCTTGTATTGATAAGGGTCGATTGATCTTCTCCGTAGCAATACAGAAAATATTGATACGGAGGAGGCAAACTAAGTAGCAATACAGATTTCATTCAGGAAATAAAAGCGTCCTCTTTGAATTAATGGTTTTAGAGCAAGTTAGAATATTTCTAAGGGGTCATCTCCTAAGAAAAATGTATTGGCTTAAGATCATATGACAAAAATATTGTAGAATGATTTGAATTGCAATACAGTATCTATTTTGCACTCAATATTCTGTATTGGCACTCGACTTTGTCTCCTACCAATACAAAGTTTTTTGAGCACAATATATCCTGTATTGGACTTCAAATCATTCAATAACTTATATCATTTACTAAAATTTGATCAGGACCCCTTTTCTTGAAAACATCGTCAATTACGATTCGTGAATTCAATTGTCTTCTATGATTTTTCCGTTTCCGGAAACTTGAATATTTTCATCAATCTATGATCTTATTGTGGATGGAGACGATTTTGACAACACTTATAGCGGTGCTCACCGACCATCCACGATTTTTTGTGATCTGATAGGTTTATAATACACTGCATGAAACGCATCTGTCGTGATTATCTTTTGAATTCCTATATATTGTATCATGTATCATTGTATCAGTCAGATGGGCACACAGGCTTGAAGTCAGCCAGGCAGGCAGACAAGTGGCCCATAACAATAGTTCACCCATGTGAACTAAACATATGTATTCCATAACTACACAGGTTCTTGGTAAATAATGAGCGGGAATATATACTGTATCTAGGGATCTATCACTGAGGAGCGAGGCGGGATGGATACAGCCTGTATCCATCCCGGTCCTGCTCCATAAAAGCTAACTAAATTTACGTTAGTTTTTCCTATGCATTCAAAAAAGGATTATATTTCAAACTTATGAACGTTGTATATTTTATCAATTCATTGATCTGCTAAGACTAAGAAATGCGTATTTTTGAATTTTGGAACTTTATAAGACAATATTGATACAGTAGAACCTGTATATCTGAGCACCTGTCTTATCTGAACACCTTCCAATTTGAACGCTTTTTTTCGGTCCCATTTTTTCCACCCATTGACTCACATGTTAAAAAAACTTGAAATCTGAACAGTGAACAACCAGATTTGAAAAACTGACCTGTCTAATCTGAACATTCAAATTATTTCACTCAGAAATCAAATGTCTGGACATTTCAATAATAATAGCCACATATTGAGTCAATGTTATAGTTGTTATTTATCTTTAGGGGCGGGGTCAAAATATCAATGTTCATATGGAGACGAAAGTAATTTTGTTTGGACAACAACCCCCCCACCCCCCCCCCCCTCTAGACGAAAGCTCAGGTCACTTCAAAAAAACATTGATTTTGAGAGGCATAATCGTATCCTATTTGCCGGGTTATTATTACGGTGAATTAACACACGTTCGCAATTTAACTGCATTGAACTCTTCAAAAGGAGGAGGGAAAAGTACGGAATTTATTTGAAAAATGATCGAATTATCGTCTTTATCTACCGATATTTTGGACCTATCACACAAAAAAGCTCACGAACTATTGAAAACAAGCCTTTTTATCAGAACATAGCGCCAGAAAAAGTGGGTAAGTCCAATTATTTTTTGTATATCAGATCCGAATTATCGATGTTTTTTTGGTCAACGAAAGTGCCCAAAAACCCCCTCCCCCCTCGCGAAAGTACTTTTGTCTCCATATGAACATCGATATTTTGACCCCGCCCCTTAGATATACAATGTAATCAAAGAACCTATATTGTCCTAATTAACTCAGTGACATCTCAGTGACATCCCTAATTGTGGAAAACAACAGGATGCATTGGAAAGGTGTGAATACAGGAGTTAATTGGATTATCCTTTTAGAAAAGAACTGAATGTTTTATGTTTGGATTAAGAGAAAGGTGTGAATCAAGAAGTTAATTGATTTATCATTATTGGAAATAACCTGAATGTTTTTGATTTGGATTAAGAGAAAGGTGAGAATCTAGGAGATTATTGGTTTATCCCTATTGAAAATTAACTGGATGTTTTTGATTTGGATTATAAACTGTTTTATATCCCATGGGTTTGTTATGACAGCTAAAATTCAATCATTGAATATTTATAATCACAAAGACAACACAGACACATTTGCAGATCGTATCACGAGAAAGAGAAAAAATTCAACTTCGTATAAATATCCTATCACTGAAATGCCTCCTAAAAAGGCATACATCTGACATCCTGAATGCCCTTGATATTTTGAAGGATCATACATCATCTCGGATGAACACTCATGAAAAATTCTTTTTACTTGAAGAGGATATCTACTCAAATATTGCTAATGCTAAAAGTGCCAAGAAACAAACAACAATGATTGACTTTTTCAAGCTAAAGTAAAGCATACGATTTCGTACGAGACTATCATATACTTATACAGTGTATTACAGTTTTTGCCAAAATTTAAAGAGTTATTTTTCATTAAGTAATGAAATTGTTCAAAATGTAAATAAAACATAGCATATACATGTAGGCTATAGGCCTATTGTAGAATGAACTCATCAACAACATGTATTGTTTTCTGACTTAGTATTAAGTGTTCAATATATTGGACTGAACAATGAAAATCCCCCCCGACCAAAAGTATCCTCGAAATTTGAACACCTGCCAATTTGAACGCTTTTGGCTGGTCCCATGGGTGTTCAGATTTGACAGGTTTTACTGTATATAAGAATATACCTATATCTTAATATTTGTATGACAGATAGAAATTAAAACAAACACTCGTTTGTCCAGTTGAGATTTTATTGTATTGCAGTTTCCCTTGACATCTGAAAGTTAAATGAAGTACAAAAACTGTCATTTGGCACTGGATCCAAAAACTCTGGTGAAGAAAAGATCAAAGTAATGGAGTATCATAAGATTTGTATTGATATGATAGTAATTCAGATGCAATATCTGAGATTTTACAATGGCTAATACATTTTCCCTAACACATGGAAGTTCTCATAAATGAAATACAAAATTTGTCATTTGGCAAAAGCTCCAAAGATCCAAAAGCTCTGGTAAAGAATAGATCAAAATTGCAATGTTTTGAATGTACTGAATGATCTTTCTTTCATAATGTTATCCAGCCTAGCCAGAATGCATCTACCTTGTGTAGGGCAAAGGGGTGTAACGTTGACATGTGGGGTAAAGTCGACATAAGAGACGGGGTAACTTCGACACTTACTTATTAGAAAAAAACATGGCTTCCCCCAAGATCGGAAATTAGAACAAATAAACAACAAGGTGTCGAAGTTACCCCACATGTCGAAGTTACCCCAATATGGAGTCGACGTTACACCTCTTCGCCCTACATCAATGATCTATTAACCTAGAATAAAATAGGTTGGACAGGGTAAGTTCGTGTTCAGCCCATCTGATACAATATATAGGCTATTCAAAAATTACTCGTGACATTTTACTGTACAATCTAGACTTATACAGCAAAATAATGTTTCAAAATTTTTACACCAATAAAGCTGTTTTTGCTGAATTGCTAGGCGATGGCCATCAAGTAGATGGCAAAAAGTCTTAATTATTTGTATATCTACGATTTTGTTGATAAGGTGCTTCAAGAAATACAATTTAGAAAATTGTGAACAACATCGTAGAAATCAAACTTCGTCAGATCGTGAATCATATTTTCGAGAAATGGGTTCCAGTTTTCCAGGATTTATCTACCACAACTCCCTGAAGTTTTTTTTTTATTAAATTGTAAAAGACTATATTTTTTCGTCATTCGTCATTTTTATTCTCATTCTAATACAAATAGAAATATTGTTAGACATATATTCACTCTACTATACCTTGCATTTGGCGTTCATGAACAACCCTTGTGGCTTATTAGTAATGATTTTTTTTTTTTTTTTTTTCATGTGTCTGTTCCTTATGAATGTTTTATTGGATGACATTAGATATTAATAAGGCACTTTCAAAAATATACTAAACAATACAATTGGACAAACAGAGTATCTTTTGCATTTCTAGGGGTTAGGTATAATAGAGTGACATTTACAAGTGCAAAAGGGAAAGGACCAGAAATTGTCACAGAACACAGTTTATACCAGTCATTAGGAAAACAAACCCCAACTATCCAAAACCATAATCTAATGTGAAGAGAAAAAATACCCAATACCCACTACTCCCCACCATTCAAGATCCATTATCATAACCCTGGACCATAACACCAATGGACATTTCATTCATATCTGAAACTTTAAGAGTTCCAAATAAGAAGATGTACTTCATATATACCAGTATGAATGAAGTTTATTCCATATTATATATAAGAGGAGGATATGAGCCTCAGTTACAAAAAGTTTTGCGGACTACATTCCCTAAAAGTCAACAATTTTGTATCTGAATAATTACATGTTTCCGCGGCATTGTTGATATTATATATACATTACATCAATTTATTCCTTACATATTTCTTACATTATTCCTTTCATGTTCTAACATCATTGATAATTGAATTCAATCAACTTTGTATATACAAGATCTAATAAAAAGATTGCATTTTTACGTGCATGATGCTGGTATGAGACTGAATGTTATTTCCCTTCGTCTCTCAACCAATTAGCCTTCTAGTTTTAATTTTTGTCCTTTTCGTAACTGTTTCATTCAAAAATTTGGTTAGTTTTTTGCGAAAAAAATGTAACATTATTTGTGACAGATATGAGCACTATGACATACAGATATGAGCACTATGTTTTTTTCAAAACCCAAACACCCTGAAATGCGCTGAAATGATCAAGCACTTCAAAATTGGCTGTTAAATGCTTGAGCCTACTGTGTCCATAAACTCTATGCGCATTAAACTCCATGAAGGAGTTATTAGCATGTGTCTCAGGAACTCCAAGTTGAAATAATCCCCCTGGTTTGAGCATGCACCAAACTTGTGCAACAGCTTCTAGATCGCCATATGGATTAAGAGGGTCACCATAGCGACCAAGTCCAGAATGTTCTATTGATGAAAATGATAAAGCAAAATCAAATGCTTGAAAACTACCATCTCTATATTTTCTTGCCATATCATACGGATGGATTTTGGTTATCTTAGGGTGGAGAAACATGTTGTTGTTGTATTCCAGTGTTGTAATGTGCTCTGCCCCTGCAGATAAAGCTAGTGCTTCAAGCCAGGGTGATTGAGAGCCAATCACAACTCCACGCTTGTTCCTAATATCCTCGACATATGCTGCAATTGCGTTTTTAGGCTCAGGAACTCCATAAGTTCCAAATATTATCCCTTTTTTATCTTTGTCTATTAGTTCATTGATATGATCTGTTGAAAAGTTTTTTTGTTTTCCAATATTAGTTTCATCGAAATACCAATACTTATTGATTGGAAGCTCCCCATTTTGAGTAAACTCGTCAAACATCTCCACTGGAATTTTCTTTGGCGGAGGTGTTGGTGTTTCTGGATTGAGTGCCATGCGTCCCATTATAGATTTACAGTTTACAGCTTTTTGGAGAAATGGATAATATTTTCCTGGTTTTTCAACTTTTACTTCATAGCTACATATTTCACCACATTCCAAATTTGTGGACACATCAATATCTGAAAAAATGTTAATAGGCCAAGCAAATGGGCTCATAAAAGGCTCAAACATCCCAAAAATTGCAACAGTTTTTAAATTAGTCTTATATTATGTATTAATATCAGTTGAAAAATATATCAAAAATATAGAAAAATGTATGCAGTGGACAAATATGAAATTTCACTTCCTAGGTACCCCCTACAACCCTACCCAAAAATTGAGTATTGGTAGGAAATAATTTTTTCTTCCCAAATGGAATACTTTAGTCAAGTATTCAAGCTTTATTATGATAGATCACATATTCACAAATAATTAAAATATTATTTTAATCAATTTTGAGACCAGTAATTGGTCATTTGACCCCAAAGTATAACAAAATAGGCCACAAAACAGGCATGTTATCACATATCTATTTAGATATTTTAGGATCAGTTTGTCAGAAAAGCATGAAAAAAATCATGGTGTTACATATTCATATGAACTTCATATTTGGTGAGTGTCAGCATTCTGAAGTGTATACTTAGGAAGAAAAAAATTATTTCATTTTCATAGTTTTACCCCGCCCACTATAGGGGAGACTTAGTTTTGATGATTAACTCCCACAATGCATCACATTTGTATTAGAGTTGACATCTAAATCATTTATATAGGCTTGTCATCATCTAAAATACAAGTTTTGTGAAGGTTTATACCTTATTAGTATGAAAAATGGGAATTATTAGTTGCACCTGGTGAAATGTTAAGGTGACCTCACTTTTATTTGATGAATAATTACATATCACCACTCTGATATTAGGGTATTTGATAACTGCTATATACTAGGCTTATCTAAATAATGTAAGTTGTAGTTTTTGTGGAATTTAATATTGTTTAAATTATTAATTACAATCCGCAATTACAAAATTTGCATATATTTAAATTCATCAGATAAATAAATCATTACATAAGAGTACATTACTATGGAACTATCAATTGGATGTATAATGCTGTAGAAACGAATTTATGGTTATTAAACGGAATTTAAACTGACAGAGAACATTAAAATCTCAGATATATAATATCTGGGGAGTCTTTCATTAATATAATTTCAGTGCATAGGAATGATGGTAATTCTGTCTGTCAGGTTGGTCAGGTCATGTGCTGCATTCAGAATCGGATGCAGATATTGTGATTGTGAAAACTGCAATCCAAAGTGTCCAAACCTCAAATACAGTACTCATACAGTTCTCCTTGTGCTTCTCATTTATCATGCACAAACACAAACTTCAACATTTTCTTCAAACCTGAACCAAAAGCAGCAACCCAAGAATCCAAAATGTTGGAATATAAATGAAATAAGATTGTCTTTGGGAAAAGTGGTCTGTGACAATATTTTGTTTCTTTTCTGGGGTGTGACATCGCATTCAGGTTATATATGGCATAGACAAGAGGCTATCATTGAGGCAGATAAAAAAGAGTGAGTTCTTGAGAAAACAAGCGGTTGTTTTTAAATTACCAAAAGCACTGGTGATCCGGTCGATTACGCTTGTTGTTTCGGTAACAAAATGTCTAAACGTCGAAAGTACGATATTTCTTTTTTCCTTTTTTCACGCGTTGTAGGCAGAATCCCCACGATGTTTTTTTCTCACAGAATTGTTGATTTAATTCCTTACTTAAGTTAAATAAACGGTTTGGGTTAAAAGTGCAGAACTTAATTGTTTATCGAAATACCGTTTATGTAACTTAAGTGAGGAATTAAATCGAAGATTCTGTTGTCTTCTGAACTATTTGTTCGCAAATATGTACATTTTTTAAACATATAATACTGATACATGTTTGTGATAACAATGTTGTGGGAATTCTGCCTACAATGTGTGAAATAAAGAAAAAAAATCAAACGTTCGATGTTCCGACATTTTGTTACAACGTAAACAAGCAGAAAACCAGTGAAATGCAAGCAACTCTGTCATTGCAGAGGAACATGCTCTTTTGTCAATTTATGGTGGAAAAATGGTGAAACCCTAAATTATCTTAGGCTTCTACGATTCTATTAAAAGAGAGCAGCAAGATCTGAATTATTGTAGCCCCGTGTTCTTCCTCCATTTTCTGATGGTGCGGAATACCACAGTTACAGAGTGTACCATCAGATCCAGGAGTGGGAGGGAAATAAACTGCCTCCATTATAATTGGGCTGGGAATTAAGCAACGAAACTATGTACCAATTGCCTAAATGCAGCTCCCCTTTCTCAGAGATCATCCATTGTGTGTGTAAGGCAGATCGTATTTCTATGAGATGTTCTTGTAGAAAAATGAAATAACTGTTCTTTGATATGTAAGGTATGCAAAGGCATTTGTGCAAATACCTCCATTACTGATCGTGAGAATAATGATGACTAAATATGAACACTGGCAGATCTGGGCCCCTCCCACCCCCTACCCTGCGTGCAGAGTCTAGTTAAAGACGAAGCTCTCTTTTAAGAAGTGAAGTCAAACGAATGCAAAGGGTACCCACCCCCTTGGGCGGGCCCAGAAAAAAAATTGGGCCCAAAAAAAGGCATTAAGGCCCCGAAAAGTGGGCCTTTTTGGTCATAAATGGGCCTTTTAAAGCCTTATTTTTTAATTGAAGAAAATGGGTCTCAATATTTCAAAATTTGGGCCCACTTCAGGGTTTTAGGGGCCCAAAATTTTTTCCGCGGAAGTTTTTTTCTCAGACCTGACATTTGACCAGGGATTTACTTTGCGTTACACTAGTTAACTCAGGAGGATTTATTAATGTAGAAACCTTTTCCTCATTTTTTATTGAATTTCATCTTGAAATCGAACATTCTTCAGTTGAACTTCTTCATTTCATTTCTCAATATCACTGTGTGGTTAAGAAAACCTTAGTCAAAAGTAACAATTTTTCCTTAATACAGGGCGAGCCAAAATGGTAACCCAAACAAATCTTAATAATCCAGTCCAATCATCCTGCATGGATTTAGTGTCATATTTGGCAGAATTGAGTCTTGGTCAATGTATTATCAATCTACGAAGTCTCAGTGGTCTCTAGTGGTCACGATTTTATGGCCATTTTATACCATGCCATGAAATATGGGTGTCATGCCTGGAGGCCAACTTGAACGTATCGTGCGTTGTTGTTCAAATCAGGAGCATAAAAATCATGTGTTATGACTCTCATCTTCATTCTTATCTCTTGTTTTAATGTTTCAAGTGTTGTTAGTATCGAAAAAAGGTCCACAGATAAAAAAAACTGGTGGTATTGATGTCCAGTCAGTTAGGCACATTTCGATATTTTGAGCACATTTTGTAAATGGCCATAAAATCGTGACTATTAAGGATAGATCAATGACACTTAGTAGAATGAAAGAACATTGAACAAGGTAATTGTGCCAAATATGATGTCAAACCCATGCTGAATGACTGGGTTATTAATAAACATTTGGTTGGGTTACCTTTTTTGGCTCATATTAATAAACTGATGTCAGGGACAGGGATATTTAACATTTTGTTGCCTTTTCAAGGACATTTTTTGACCACTGATTGTAACAAATCATTCTCTGTTTTACCAGAAAATGTATATTATATATCAAATTGAATTTAAAAGGAAAAAACATTTGATAATTTAACAGTTATCAACTAAAAGTAGGGCTTCCCCTATATTTCACCTGGCATTTGCTGTTTTTCTACTTTTTTTTACATAATCCTTTCCTGAAAACCTCAAAAACTGTTTTCAGGACAAAATAAGCCTTTACAAATAATTTAGTTGTGCTATTGAGTTCAAATATGACATATCTTGGAAGAAATTAAACAACAGTAAGGTCACCCCAAAAGTGGGTGTGATAAAATATTGAAATTTCAAATATTATTTTCACGCTCAATATTCACTTAATAACCCTGATACTTATCAAATACAATGTTCAGGTGTACAATACCCTCCTTGATATTTTTCATGCAGTTCTGATGAATTGATACAGAAATAAATACATTGTTATATTAAATTCGGGCTATTTGATGGCCTATTTTCAGATATTTGGCGCTAGAAATGCCAGTTATTGCACTCAAATAGTTGGTTAACAATTTTTAGTTGCTCTTATGTCAGTAAACTATCATAATATTACTCGTTTAGTTGACAAGAGTATTCCATTTTTAAAATAAAAAAATATTTACAATCCCATACTCAAATTTGGAGGGGGGTACCTGGAATGTGACATTTCATATTTGTCCACTGCATATATTTTTCTATATTTTTGATATGTTTTTCAACTGGTATCAATATACAATATAAGCCTAATTTAAAAACTGTTGCAATTTTTGGGATGTTAAACTTCCATTTGCCTAGCCTATAAAGCAGATATGAAATGGTATTTTTGACCTAAAGGAATCAATATAATTTTTTAATAAATGTATTTGGACATGTTTTCTCATCAGTAAAGGCAAAAATGGAATCAATATGGCAAATATTTGATTAAAACTTTAAAGTTTGACTGTTACTCATCTAGTTTACTTAAAAAGCTACTTACCATCTTCAAAAAATTGCTGATGCTTTAATCCTCCTGCTAACTGTTTTATGACTTGCTCTAATCTTAAAAATTTGAAATAAATTAGCACAAAAGCTGCAACACATAATAAAGCTATAATCTTTTTGAATGCGGGTGCACTAGAACTCATCTTGCGTATCTCGGTAACTTTTATGAAGTAAAACACAAACTCAAATGCAAATGAAAACTTCACTATTGATTTTGTATTTTCAATACGAGAGTTTATTAATAAGAAATAGACTCTTTTTACAGCGCTTGTTGACCAATTTTACTGATGTTTTCAGAAGTGGTACGTCATTCAATTATCTAGGCCTTATTAGTCCTCAAAATCTTAAGACAAAATAAGCAAGATATCTCATGCAGTCCTAAATATAATAAAGGTAATACAGAACATGATTATTAATTACTCTCTGATCACTGTTCCACAACTATAGTTACTTTGACAGAACGTCAATGTAACAAAATGGATGAACTTCCTGGATGCGAGTTTTTGTTTTAGCACAAAGTTAGACAATATAGTCTAGCTTTTAAAATGCTCTCAGTTTGGAATTTTAATTTTAAATAAAGCTGTAATTCATGCATTTAGATCATCGCTTTTGTTACATTGACGTCAGTCGGCAAAGTAACATACATTGGTAATATAACACACTTTCGTCAATGTAACAAAAGCGAGAGGCTAAATATATGAATTGCAACTTCATTTACAAAACAAATTCCAAATCGTATAAACATATAAAAACTAGACTATATTTTCTATTTGTGTTAAATAATAATCTGCAACTTGACTTATAAGTAGCTTTAAATCAAGAAAACAAAAAAACTTGTAACCAGGAAGTTCATCCATTTTGTTACGTTGACGTTCTGTCAAAGTAACTATTTGCGGAACAGTGCCAATGCTGGCTTGTTACTTTGTTTATTTACACTTGTACAGATTAATCCAGCTGCAGCTGGGATGATGCCTTTCCAATAGGCCTAATTACAGTTTTAATTGAGTTTAATCTATATTAGTGGGTTTATTTTGATGAAACTATCATAACTCCGTTAATTGGTGTTTGTTAGATCTAAATATGAAGAAGATTTACAATCTGATAGTTAATTCCTAATGGAATAACTTTTTGATTACATACAGATGTATTTAGAAATCTTGCTAGACTTCCAGCCATGTACAACTGCAAATTCACTCACAAATTTTTCATATATCTTTTTTAGGTTGTACTTTTATATGGTAAAAGAGTTTAGATATAATTGAAATTAAGTCTACTAAATAAACAATATCCCAGTGATATCATGATATGAAAATCTAGTCTGCTTTAACAGAGTCTGATGAAATACTACTACTGTATAATACATAAGTATAAGTTGGACACCAATGACTAATCATATAATATCTGCTATGGATTCCTATCACAAGAAAAAGCTTTTTTAACTTATATAACATGTTATCTAAAGTTTATCTTTGCCTACTTTCAACTTCTAAATTCCATATGTGAAACTGAATACTAGTAATGATGGAATTCTGTTTTTAAAATGACTTTCTCCCTTATTTTCACCATATATTAGCTGGTGCAATTTAAGAAGATTTATAAACTATTTATCTGGGATATCTAGTTCCCCAGCCCTTTGTTTTACTGTACATAGTTTCCTTTATATAACTATCAGATACATAAAGGTAATAAGAAAATTGATCCACTGAAACTGATGAATATTCAATTTTAAGAGAACTTTTTTATATATTTGCTGTGTTATCTGACCCAAATTACCCACTTGGTGGTGAAACTGGTAACTTCCCACTCGCATCTAGGTTATTGGAACAGCAATGGCTTTGGTTCAAATTTCATTTGTTGGTGCCCTCAGTACACAAGATAACTGCTTAGTATGGGCAGGAATTTTCAAGATGACCACTAAATTCAAAATGGTCATCAAAATGTAATCTTTGATAACTTACATAAAAGTTGACATATTTGGTTCAAACTTTATATGGCATTGTTCAGGGACATATGAATCTACTCAATGAGGAGTTTTCAAGATGGCTGCTGAATTCAAAATGGCCACCAATAGGAGGCAATGCACAGTGGAAGTAATGTAACAAAGTGATGATTGATTTGATAGAATATTGTTTGTTTGGTGGAATTTGCTACTCCATAGAGTTGCTTTTCTTCAAGTTTGATTTTCCTTTTAGATTGTCCTAAACGATGCTCCCATTGTGGACCTAATATTTTTTTTGCAATAATTTAAGAAACGTACATGATTCCCCAGAAAGAGGACAGTGGGGTTATAAACATAGGGTTTACTTAAGGAGTCAGCATGAACACGCTGTAGAGAATAATAAAACATAACATCTAATTAAAATATAAAAACATAACCTTCAATTTTCTAAGTTATACATTACATTCTGATACTTTTAAAAATTACCTAAAATCTTCATAGCATGTTTCAATCATCAATGCAAAGTATTATAGGCATATAATTATTTATTGAATGGAGCTTTACAGTACCTCATTTTAGGGTTCCATGACACCGTTTCAGTTAAAATGTTATTTTTTACAAGATTCACTCTCCGACATTCTTACCCATTCAAATACACTCAGAGTTCACAATTACACAGGCATCATTTATAAAATAAAGTAAAAACAACAAAACAATTTTTAAATCAGTGATTTCATTTTATTCAATAATTCTGTTGCACCTGTAGTATATTTTTGGTGGTTTTTTATTCCACAGAAATTTAAAAATTATCTTATTTATGTCCTTTATTATGTTCGCAGGAATATACTGTACTGCACTTAAAAATGAAAGTTGTGAGATTCCTAATGATTTAATTATTTGGACTCTTCCTTCTAAAGTTAAATTTCTTTGTTTCCATAGGTTTGATTTACTTTTCATGGTTCCTATCTTATCATAAATGCTATTATTAATAATAAAGTATTATTAATAGTATTGCTTACATACCACCACAGTCACACATGTCCACTGAAATAATGTTAACATAATTCTAGTATTCATTCTGGTAATTTTTTTTGTTTATTCCGGTGTTTGGGGCAGGGTACTATCTACCCTGCAAGTTGCAGCTAAAATGCAGTAACAAAGGGTTATAAGTGCTGCAATAAAGACTTTAAAGCTATTTTAGCAATTATTTAAAATACTGTTAGCACGTATATACATAAGAATGTAGCTCAAAATTATAAGTGATTAAGTTCATATAAACATTGACTATTTGTCAACGTACACGGGCATTCACGTTTGTCTTCCCTGTAATAAAAGCTATCTACATACCCTAAGATTTAATAATTGTATTAAAAACTCGTAAGAAAGTCTGTCAAGAGTCTATTTGCACAAGTGTTCGCATGTCTCTCAACCACACTTGATCTGCATGTTATTTTGGTGTTTTAATATTAAAATCAGTGTATTTGCCATAAAGCGCAAGACTCTGTCATAAAAAGCTGTTAGATTATTAATTAAAACAACCACATGTACATGTTGTATCACATATTAAACATACTTTTTGTTTAACATACTGCGTCCATCTTGAAAATAACCGAAAAGATGTTCCTTTCAACAATACCAACTACTAGGTATACTATTGGGTTGCATTATAAGTTATGATACTGATTTCTTGGGGGGGGGGTTCACTTTTGCATTGATGTATATGCATATGCTTATTAGTAATTTCTGTTGACTGACCAAGAAACCCAATAGTGCACAGTTTATGTTGCTTAAATTTTGGCATGCTGCCAAACATGATTGACTGTGTATTTGTTTTTGTTTTTACTCCACAAGTTGTCTGCACAAATGAGCTGAATATCAACTGAGTCTATTTCTGTTGTGATTATAAGTTATAAAGTTGTTATGAACGATTAAAATATGAACGATTAAAATAATTGAACTAGTTTATTCAGCTAATTAGTTCAAGAGGCTGATTTTCAAGTTTGAATTTCCTTTTAGATTGTCCAAAACGATGCTCCAATTGTGGACCTATTGTGCCAATGGGCTGTCACGACTGAAAGAGCTGGGGACCAACGAGCATTCGTTGTGGCTAAACTTCTGGAGAAACGACAAGCTGAGGTTCAAACAGAAGTAAGTGTAGAGTCAACATGTAGCTAAGAGGCAAACCCCACAAAAATTCTACACATTAGAGAAGTATTTTCTGAATGTTACCTTCCTAAAGCTGTAAAATGATGTCTGGTAGAAGTGGTCTCTGGATTGATTTTTTCTTGCCTATTTAATTTTGCCTGTTTTTGGATCATGATTATACTCCTAAAGCTTAAATATTATCATTACTAGGGCGAATTATAGCATATCTAATGGGATATAGAATTAAATACAAATGTTTCAAAATAAAGGGGTCTTTTTCCAGAAATACCTAGAGAATGACATGATAGATGAGAAGGGGTCTCCAGATAATGAAATGATGATACCAACAGGGCTCCCTATATACCAGAGCCAACTTGTCACATTTCTAGATGAAAAAGCACCTGTATTAGGTAAGTAAAATATGAGAGCACATTTTGTGAATATGCAGTTAGGACAACTTGAGGCAATTTCTACAGCTGTATAAATACCAAGTATCAAAGAATATAGTATATAAAGGAAATATTCTTACCTCAAAATCAAGATAGCTTCTGAGACCAAATATTAAATCTCCCTTACTGACTATTTGTCAATTTGAAAATGAACATGCAAAAACTAAATTGGCAGCCCTGGAAGTTTCACTTTTCCACCCTTCCAAATTCAATTTGGATAGGTGTCAAACCTTTCAAATAAGTGAAACATATTACTGTACTCTCATTTTTCTGATGAGAAACTGACATGTTCATTTTAGAAACCTTTGAGACCCCTCAAAACAGGCAAGCATTTGGAAATCTTGTACTGCTTTTTGCCGAGCTCATCCGTCACGACGTGTTCTCCCATGATGCCTACATGAATCTTCTCATTGCTCGTGGGGATCTTGAAACTGCTCCACTATCAACCAATCAGATGGCAGCTATCCCGTTAGTGACTGAACCAGTTAGTGTTGAACCTGTTAGTGGCTGTGGTACTCCAGGTGTATGTGGACCATCCAGTGTGAAATCTAACCTGGGCAGTGTGAAACATATTGAGGTATGGGATAATTATCATATCTTCTCCCCCTTGTTCATAACATTTAATGTTTAAACCTGAGTAGTGTCATACATCAAGGTACATGTATTTAATGATTCTCATATCGTTAGCTCACTGCGAATAACATTAAGTGTGGTGTCTTACCTAGGTGATATATCTAAAATGATTTTTTTTTTTTTTTTTTTTTTTTTTTTTTTTTTTTTTATTATTTCCTAATGCAAGATACAAGTATACAAATAACATAATACAATACTAGCAACAGCAACAGGTTGTGTAACACTTACATTTTTCTAATCAATATTTCAAAGTTAAATAAAAACTCCAAATTTGGATGGTTTCCCTTTTTGTATTTGCTTATAACATTATGTGCCAATGATATAACTACATTAATTTTTTGATCCTTTGTCCCTATCAATTTTTCTGTTGGACTCAGATCAATATTTTTGTTAAATTTATCTTGACAATATTTTTTCACTAATTCCCAAACCTGTTTAATATGTGGACACTCAACAAAGAAATGCTTGTATGTGTCTCTTAATTTACATTTTTCACATTCATTATCATCTTTCTTTTTCATCTTATACAGTAGTTCATTTGTTGGGTATATTTTATAAATTATCTTATAATAAAGGGACCTAAGTCTTGGCTCCTTCAGACATTGAACTGTTCTAAATATCAATTTCATATCTATGTCACCCTCTTCCCTCCATTTTTCAGGAATATTAGGTAGTTCTGTTTGATTTTTTATTATTATATTTTTATAGTCTTTTAATTTTGCTGTTGCTATAACAATATTATTATACATATTTTCATTGCTTTTGTGAACAATGGTTTTATTATACAATAAAGATTTTAACAAATTATATTGCATTCTTAACTCTGGTCTAGGGCCTATGATATTTAAAATTTCCTCAAACTCCTTTATTTTATCATTTTCATCAATAATCTGTCTAAGTTTCTTTATACCCCTTTTAACCCATTCTTCAAAATATATAACCTTTCTACCATATCTCAAACTGTGGTTATTCCATAATATATCATCATTGTTTAATTCATTATGTAAATCTTTATTGTCTAACCATTGTTTAACAAGTTCAACATAAAATGATGGCATTTCATCCTGTTTTAATTTTGGTTTCAACTCTGCATATTTTATATTGTAGTCAAATATATCTACATGTCCCATTCTTTTTATAAAGTAAAGGAACATATGCTTCCAGCTTGACTCATAATTTTTAACATTTTTTATACGTGATACCCAGACCAATAGTGCAGCACTTTGCACAGAAAAAATGTCAACCATATTTAACCCACCATTTTCAATGCTTTGTCTTAGTATTTTTCTTTTGATCCGTTCACCTCCACGATAATGCGGTTTTAAATTCCAGATGAATTTGTATAAAACATTATTAATCTCTTTCAAGATCGAGTCAGGTGCCTTAAAAACCATTAATAAATTTGTTAATTGAGATGCTACTAAGCTTTTCACTAAATTAATTCTGCCAACAATGGATAAAGTTCTGTGTGACCATTGATTAATTATCTTGTTCATTTTAGTGATTTTTTTATTCCAGTTTTCTTGAATAGAAGCTGCAGATCCCCTGTTTCTAAAAAGTACCCCTAAAATTTTCAATTTTGCATTTTTACCTAATTGCCATTTTAATCCTGCAGGTGATTCAAGAGAGTTTTTATTTCTTCCTATCCACATTGCCTCTGATTTTTGCATATTCAACCTTAATCCAGAAACTTTATAGAAATCATCAATTACTTTTAAGAGTTCAATTAAAGAGTCTTTGTTTTTGACAAATACGGTTGTATCGTCGGCATATATTGTTAACTTAATTTCTTTATCATTTGGCAATTTTAACCCTTCAACGTTTTGATTTTGGCGTACTTTACAAGCAAACATTTCAGTAGCAATGATGAATATTATTGCACTCAATGGACACCCTTGTCTCAGTCCAGCCTTTAACCTAAACCAATCTGTGAAATAACCATTATTTGAAACAGCAGCTAAATTATATCTAAAATGATAGCATATGTAATAACTCTCATATCTGTCCCTTCATGTGACACAAACAGAGTAGTATATTTAAGGATGCAGTACCAGGTCAGCGTAGAAAAAGTTCCAGACATTAGATTTTGCTCATATTTTTTACAATGTATCACTATGATGTTATCATCATCCAAGTGCAATATGAAGAGGATTGACCGTCTGGTAATTACAAAATAAAAAATTTATTTTACCTACCCAAAATGAATCTTTTTACTTTTTTGAGTTTTCAAAAGAGCTGGCACCTTTCGAACCCTGGTTTTCGTATCCACTAATTGCGACTCAAGAACAAGTTTTCCCATAAAAGTGAAAGAGATAAAATATGCTTGATAAAATGTTTGCAATTTAATTCTTTTCTGGAAACACCATTATTGAAATAAACTATAATTTTTGAATAAGACTAAATGCGAAAATGACGTTCTTGGGAGCTAGCTTTCTCAAACCGGAAGTCAAACCTGCGCAAACAGACGTGAAAACCGACCCGGTACTGCTTCCTTAACAACAAATGTTTGTTTTATATTGCAATTATATCTTCACTCAATGAATGAATTGAATTGATAATACTTGTACTTGTATCTGTTTTTTTATCATATCACACATCCCAAGAAAGTGCTATCTTGTCATCATCTTGTGATGATGGGCATTTGGAAGTCTGTCCGCATATTTGCTTAACAATGCATTTTACTGTATAACTGTATAATTATGTCTTGTAATTGATTTTGTGAGGAAGTCAATTGTTTTGGCTTGAAAGACAATAAAATCTTGAATCTATATGCATCACATTTGGAAGTATGCGGGCATACATCAATCTTATCATCAAAATTCATAGAAAACTAAATCTTGAATTTTTACATATGCAGAGCAACGGGTATGCCAACATCTGATTAGGTTTTGGACATGTTGACTTATATACATAGCAGACATTTGCTCTTTAAAGTGATATATCTGTCACTGTGTGTCCTTTTATCACTGTGTGTCTTTTTATCACTGTGTGTCTTTTTATCACTGTGTGTCTTTTTTTATAGCCACTGGATGATCCTATGAAAGCAGACCTAGACAACCAGATATTTGATCCACAGTTTGACTTCTTCGCTTATCAAGATGAACAGAAGCCAAGTCCTGAACAGCCAGGTAATATATACTGTAAAACACATTGAATATGTGGAAGCAGTTTTCATGCATTTGTACATTATCCAGGTAATATATACATGTACTGTAAAACACATTGAATATGTGGGAGCAGTTTACACGCATTTGTACATTAACCAGGTAATATATACTGTAAAACACAATGAATATGTGGAAGCAGTTTTCATGCATTTGTACATTAGCCAGGTAATATATACATGTACTGTAAAACACATTGAATATGTTGGAGCAGTTTTCATGCATTTGTACATTAGCCAGGTAATATATACTGTAAAACACATTGAATATGTGGGAGCAGTTTTCATACATTTGTACATTAGCCAGGTAATATATACTGTAAAACACATTGAATATGTGGGAGCAGTTTTCATGCATTTGTACATTAGCCAGGTAATATATACTGTAAAACACATTGAATATGTGGAAGCAGTTTTCATGCATTTGTACATTAGCCAGGTAATATATACATGTACTGTAAAACACATTGAATATGTTGGAGCAGTTTTCATGCATTTGTACATTAGCCAGGTAATATATACTGTAAAACACATTGAATATATTGGAGCAGTTTTCATGCATTTGTACATTAACCAGGTAATATATACTGTAAAACACAATGAATATGTGGAAGCAGTTTTCATGCATTTGTACATTAGCCAGGTAATATATACTGTACTGTAAAACACATTGAATATATTGGAGGAGTTTTCACGCATTTGTACATTAGCCAGGAAATATATACTGTACTGTAAAACACATTGAATATATTGGAGGAGTTTTCATGCATTTGTACATTAGCCAGGTAATATCTACTGTAAAACACATTGAATATATTGGAGCAGTTTTCACCCATTTGTACATAGCCAGGTAATATATACTGTAAAACACATTGAATATGTGGGAGCAGTTTTCATGCATTTGTACATTAGCCAGGAAATATATACTGTACTGTAAAACACATTGAATATATTGGAGGAGTTTTCACGCATTTGTACATTAGCCAGGAAATATATACTGTACTGTAAAACACATTGAATATATTGGAGGAGTTTTCATGCATTTGTACATTAGCCAGGTAATATCTACTGTAAAACACATTGAATATATTGGAGGAGTTTTCATGCATTTGTCCATTAACCAGGTAATATATACTGTACTGTAAAACACATTGAATATGTTGGAGCAGTTTTCATGCATTTGTACATTAGCCAGGAAATATATACTGTACTGTAAAACACATTGAATATGTTGGAGCAGTTTTCATGCATTTGTACATTAGCCAGGTAATATATACTGTAAAACACATTGAATATATTGGAGCAGTTTTCATGCATTTGTACATTAGCCAGGTAATATATACTGTAAAACACATTGAATATGTGGAAGCATTTTCAAGCATTTGTACATACATTTGTTTATTTTATTTTTTATTTATTTTATTGTTTTACAAGTCCATCCGTTTGTCCATCTATCCATCTGTCCTGTGTGTCTGTCTACCAGTCCCTTAATGTCATTTTGTGTTTCAGCCTCAGTTAAGTCTATCAGATCAGAAAAACAGGACACCCAGAGCCCAGCTGTGAGTCACGGTCCTACCCCAACCCAGGGGCAAGTTCACGCACCACCCCCAGGCAAACAGCAATCACGTCACCTCATATATGCCACACATTTTCCTATCCCCCAGGATGAGAATTCGGTTCATGAGTGCAATCAACGAATGGTGACGCTCTATGGTGTAGGCAAGAGTAGAGAAGAGGTACAGTTTACAAAACTTTAAAATAAATTTCTTAATTATTTCATTTTTATTCATGAATAAGTTTAAAAGATTGATGATAATGGGAAATTGTTTATTCAGTAACATAAAGATAATAATGGTAAAATACGTTTCAATAATATTTTTGGGGTATTTTTTATGAATTAATTTGGTTTCCTTGCCATTGTTAGAAAACTCACTTGCAGTAAGTAAAGTCTTGATACTTAGACCTCTTTACGTCCCCCTTGTTTAATATATCTTCCCCTCATAGTAAATAATAATAACAATTATACCTTTCAGGCTAAACATACAGTCCGAAAAGTCACCAAGCGACTTTTCTCGAAGCTTAATCTGATCGACAACAAAAACTCTAGCGAAAAATACAACATGAAAAGTACATTTAAAAAGTTTCAACAATTGTCCTATTACGACCAGCACTCTGTGACATCATCATGCACAATGGCAGTTTTGGAACAAGTTAGTAGTTTCGTGAGCCGCACGTCGACGTATCTACCTCTGTTGGAGAATATCTCGTATTTATTGGACCTCATGGAGTACTGCTTGAATATCAATGGCTTACTGGAATTCGCAATACAGGTATTTTGGCTTTGTTCTCTATTTTCTTGTATAGCTCACATTTTGGCTTTGATTGTTTTTATGTTGCATACTACTTGTGGGGGTTTCTTTGTTTTCTTGGATATCTCACATTGATTTGTCCAACTTCTGTCTTGTATATGTGACTTTGTACAAAGTGTGTACTGGGTATTGTTTAATAGTATTGAAGATATATCCAAAACTGACCACATTATCAATAAAACCTGTGTTTCGATATTTGCACATTTTGAAAATTCATGAAACTTCACAAACATTTTAACTTTATTTCCTGGGTTTGACTGCATATTTTTAGTCTCTTCATTTACTCTCTGAAACAATTCCAGTTGTTGAAAGAAATGAAAGAGGTTGAGTTCCATGCGTCCAGTCTCAGAGGGAGCTACATTACATCACTGTGTCTATGTTTAGTCGCCATACTTAGGAAATACCATGCTTGTCTATTGTTGTCACCTGACCTAGCCATAGCAGCATTTGAGGGGTGAGTCCAGTAAATAGAATTTCTAAAACCAGTGATTATTCTAGCATAAAACAACCAGGTGTTCCACCCTCTAGAAAAACTTAAAATTGTTAGTACCCTACCAATAGGCTCAGATATTTTGACCAAAATAATTTTGATCAATAGGATTTGGGCTGAAAGCCAAGCTGTTTTCTTTAAGATGCAGCATTTAAGGGGTGAGTCCAATAAATAGAATAGCCAAATAGGATTATGGGATGTTTGATGCAAAACCAATGACCAACACTGTGCAAAAAAGGCTATATAGTAATAGAATATCCTGTTAACTATGCTCTAATATCAACTGTCATAGTGTGAAATATCTCCCGTATCTCCCGTGTTGTATAGACACATGCTATATCCAGATATTTGGCGGACAACTAGTATAGTTAGTACTATTTGCCACTCTACTAAATATGAACTAATATAAGCTGTGTTATATATCAAGGCTAACATATAGTTTGTCTACCACTCTATCAGATCTACAGAAAGGATATACTAGCCGATTCTATGAACAACAGCTTCTTCTAGCATATATCAGGATATACTATTAAATCAGAGCTCCAAAAACAAGAGATACGCTAACTATACGAAATGACGTCATCACATCTTATTTCTGTAACTTATCTGGCTTATTAATGATTGATGACTTGTTTACATTGATAATTAATCCGTTTGTTGAGTGAATGGATTAATTTTCTACAACCGAGGGTTCTTATTTCCTTAAAAATAATTTTTGAGTTCATTTTTTATATACATTTAATTGTATAATGTCCCTAATGCTATGATAAACATTGTGTTAAATTTTGAATTTAATTGATCAACTCCATGGAAAGTTATTTTTTAATTATTGAGTTTTCCTCTCGATCGGTTTTACTCTGCAGATTGTTTACACCTGACAAGAAAAGCTATTTAATGTTAAAAACAGTTTAGGAATCTCAAACAATTTGTTTAAAATATCAGAGATAAACACTAGATTAGTCTTTGCGATTAAGCTGTTTCTATTTAGAATTTCACTATGACAAATTTACATTGATAATTAATCCGTTTGTTAGAGTTTATAACATTGGCGCATTTAGAGATGCAAGTAAATTGCATGGAACTTAATACTTCATAATTCATGTTCTATGTTATCTAGATTATCTGAGATAAACATCAGATTGGTCTCAGTAATTGTATTGTATTGTATATTTATTGCCTCATTTATATGAGAGAATACATTTTAGTATACATATGGTTTACATATAAAATATAAAATACAAGGATAAGATTAAATTATGTGATAAAAAAGTTGTTGTTTTGGAAAACATAAAAATAAAGTGATAGAGAAATTATGTGTCAAGCAGAGCCAACAGGTTGGCTCTGTGATTGTACATTTTGTGTACACATGATGATACAATTATTAACGTCTCACATGAAACATCTGAGAGACCTAAAACTTTCTTCATAATAACACCCATACTGTCACCACGACAGCCAAGGGCTTCAAATATGTTATGCCTATATGGTTCATACATAGGGCATCTTAATATAAAATGTTCAATTGTTTCAGTTTCACAGAGGTTGCACAATATACATCGTTTTGAACCATTGAAGTTGTTCGTATTTAATACATGGGCGTTACATATCAATTGCATCATAGTTTTACACTGGCTTTGACATTTAGGATATTTCTGACAAATCAACCACCATATGCAAGGTTTTAAGTCTGTGACATAGTCACGTAGGTATAAAAGTTTGCCATAACATGAGCATTGCAAGAAAAATTGCTTGACCTCGACGGATCTTACAGCATTGACAATTTGCAGTCTCCATGACCTCTTCGACGGAAGATATCCAGAGTCCAGCACATTTTTAACCAGATTTTCAATTCCTAGCATTTTGGTCTTAAGGAAAATGCGCCGGATAGGAGAGAAAATATCGGCATGGTTGTCATAAGTGACATGAAACATCTTTACTAACCGTGTTATAGTTATATCCCTGTAAATATTATTAAACCTAAGTAAACTCCAGAGATACATCATCTGCAACACTGTAATATAGCCGTCTATTGACAACCATCCCAACGGCATCGTTGCACTAGGATTGGCTGAGGTTTTGGGGAAAAATTGGATACGTTTGCCAATCTCCCTATGAGTCAATTCAAGCTTTTCAACATCTGACGCTTGGTAATTTATAACTGGTGCCCCAAACAGCATGGTTGGAATAGAAAAGGCCCAGTACAGTTTTGATGCTGTTAAGGGTGACAAACCACCTGTTTTGTGCCCCAGTCCCAAAAGTGAGCAGAATTTTCGCTTACCACTAGTGCAGCGATCATTAACATATTGTGAGATATCATTTTTACTAGATATTGGAACACCAACATGAACAGTGAAATTGACCTTTGGAATTCTCGTGTCACCTATCTTGAGAACGACATGACCTTTAACACTTGAATCAGTGACCATATCATTAAATGTCAGAAAGTTACATTTCGCTGGATGGATTTCATATCGCCATCTTCTACTATGTTCAAAGGCAGCGTTTAACATAAGTTGCATATCCATTTGATTTGTGGCAATAATGGTCATGTCATCCGCATAAGAAGGACATACACAGTTTACATCATCAATGTGGCCACCTATATTCATTTCACATAGATCCTGAATAAGGTCAGCCATGTACAACTGATAAAATAGCATAGATAGGACACCCCCTTGGTGGACGCCCTGCATGACATTAAAAGGTTTAGAAAGTGTATTTGAACTTCCTACACGAACGGCACATTCATATTTATGGTAATTATCATAAAGCATACGCCACAGTTTGCCATGGATACCAAGTTTATGTAGTTTGACCATCAATCCATCTAACCAAACGGTGTCAAATGCTTTTCTAATATCTAATGTGGCTAATATTACATTTCTATGCTTTTCGACATTGTGGGCAATGGTTTCCTGAACTAAAAGGGAAGTATGAACAGCAGAGCAATGACTCTGAGAAGCACCTTGTAAGTTAGGCATAATATTTTTTGCAAGGGATCCAATTCTTTTTAACACAATATGATCGTACACTTTACGCAACATGTTCATCAGAGTGATGCCTCTGGAATTGTCTTTATTACAAGGATCTTTATTTCCTGCCTTTAGTATAGGTATCAGTATACCAAACCTAAAATTCATGGGAGTGTATTCGTTTAACATGGTTGCATTAAAAAGGGTGCATATGATCGAAATTACAGTGTCATTGCTATATTTTAAATGTTCGGCACATATCGTATCCGATCCACATGCACGATTATTATGCAACCGTGATATGGCATTACTCACTTCACTATCCTGAAAAGGTTCATCAAAGAAAGTATTATCTTCAAAATATGATGTTTGCTTAATATGCATAATTTCATTTTCAATTTCACACTTGGCATGGCTGTGAAAATGAGGCTTATCAGAAGGGGTTGCCAAACGAGCAAAGTGAGTGCGCCATTCATCCCTTATTCCAGCCTCGTCACTTACGATGACGTCATTATCAGATTTAATTGGAGACAGACGCCTAGAAGCCCTATTTCGGCTCTTATTGAGAAGATGCCAATAGTAACGCTGATCAAGTGATTCTGACCTGTATAGACGATTAAGCTCATTTTGTTCATACATAAACTCACTACATCTAAAACATTTTCTAAAAGCACATTTGGCAGATTTATATTGGGCCCTAATTACATTATCCGCATTTCGAGGTCGACCAGCCGACACCCACTCACGCCATCTTTTCTTCTTTAACTTTACTAATCTGGTTAATTCATCATTCCAGAATGGCTTTACATGCTTTGAGAACTTCTTAATGGGGATATGTGCATTAGAGCATTCAATCAGGCCATTTACCAGTTTCAAGATATAACTATCAATTTGGCAGTTTTCCAAATTATTTACACCAATTAACCGTAAATCATTCAGAATGCCCTTACATTGCAAATCAAGAGATGATGTGTACGTTGATTTAATTTCATCGGATGATAATTTATTCCACGCATATCCAACACAATCATTTCTTTGAATTACATGCTTAACACTAGTGAGGTCTCTAAAAGTCGTGATTATGGGGAGATGGTCTGACGTGTTGCCAGGCTCATTGTCTAATATAACACATTCGGAAACATTACCGCATAGAGGAAGGGACACAATAATATGATCAATATATGACCTATAGTAATTACCATTTCTCAACATTTCAAATGTATGCACAGGACCCAAAGTAGCTCTGTTTGTATCAACTGCCCATAGCTCATTACTCAGGCAAAAATTGTGCAATTCTATGCCACTCTGCGTCTGTGTATCCCTTACACCATGTGATCCCTGTAAAGTACCTAAATTTGCATTCACATCGCCAAATATCACAACATTTCCATCATTAGATATACGCTCAACAAAATCATTCAAAATATCCAAAGTTTCAGTAAAAGTGGTATGATGACAATTTTGCTGTGGCAGATACACAGAAAATATAAATAATGCAGAATCATCAAACACTAATTTAACACATAAAATCCTATCCGAGCACAGCTCTAGCATAGGCACGACCATATGGTCTAAGGATCTTCGCCAAAAAATGGCGGTACCGCCACTGCCCCAAACAGTCCCACATTGCATAGGATCCAAAATACTACTGCTTTTAGCCAAACATACAAAATCATTTGACAAATCATCTAACTTGTGGAGATTACATTCATAGAGTTTATGTTCGCTTAGTGCGAAAAAATCACATTTCGCCAAAATGTCCAATATATAGCGGTTAGAGGCCCCAAGACCTCTACAGTTCCATTGCCCAAATCGTAATTTGTTCTCATGAGGTGACATTGTTAATGATAACACGGAGTGAAATTCTGCGCTCGGGGCTGATGTGCAAATGTGTAGTGTCACAACAAGTAATAGGAAAGTGTAAGAATTTATCATTGTTTTATTATAGGCCATTATTATCATATTCATACCAATCAATCTGTGACTTGTAGGCGTCATTCATCCTGTCTAGGTTGTCGATTCCACAGTCATAGTCGGACTGATCATCGGCATGGGTAGCCTGTCGTCGGTATCCAGTTATAACTGGAATCGGTTTTTCTCGTCGCATGGCTGCTCTAGGTGCCCGTCGTTCCCAGCGCCTGCAGACTATTGATGGGTCGGGCCAAAATTTTTCTGATAGTAAAACATGTACATCAGTCTCGGGAACGCAAAGTTTGCATCCCACTTTGTCGTCGCAGAATTTATTCTTCACAATCTCAGCACGCATTACACGCACCCCAGAGTTACGAGCGTGCTGCACGACTGCATCGCGTAATGAGACATCAGATACATCAGGTTCCATCCTCAGGTTATTCACATATACAAACGATCCCCGTACATCTTTTACTCCACGGAGTTTCACAATTCCTTTTGCAGCAGTCGGGGCGTTGGATTGTATTGTGTTTTTATGATGGTTTACAACAGTCCATTGCGCCTTAGAGGCTGCAGCAGCATATGTAGATAAAGTGCGGGCTTTGGGTTCTGATTCTAATTTATCCCTCGCGACATACTCAGATAGACCCTTTTTAAAGGGTATGTCAGTTTCAGTGTCAGATGAACGTCCTTCATGTGACTTGCCGTTGCGGCAAATACGATCCATATGCGTGGCAAAGGTGGAGCTTTTCGAAGCACTTGGAGTTGAGGCATTTAGAACATTTTTATTTAGAGGTCTCAACGAATGCCCATTTGTAGTGTTTATGCATGGTCCAGGTTGCGCCTTTACAGGGGCGGACTTACCATCAGATATCTTTGATGAGGTATTAATACGGCTCTCCGCCATTTCAGTTTCGCACGGGTGTTGATCAGATAAATCCAGAGTAATGTCCCTTGCTATTGAACTTTCACTCAAAGCCCGTCTGTGCATGGCATTGTTTTGATTTATATCGAGGTCAACAGGTGCACGGTTAGTTTCACATACAGATACACTGGTCTTAGAGCCAGAATTAACTTGATTAGCTTCGTTTTGGCCATTTGAAATGGTTCTACATGTGCACAGTTTTATATGTGTTGATACCAAGTTGTTCATATCGTGCAATTCCTTACGTATAGTATTCAATTCCTTTTTGTATTCTTTATTCTCCCTCTCTAAATCCGCCACCCTCGTCGTCAATTTCACCAGTCTGGTATCCAAATCAATAGATCTGTAATCCGGGGTGGGAGGTTCAGTGGGCTTCGCTGTATCAGGGATAGTTGGAACGAACGAAGAATCACTTAGGATTGATCTCGGAAATGCCCGATTTTCATTTTGGGTAGTAGGCTTGTTTAAATATAAATACATATCACAAATGTCACTTGCCATACGCTCTGCTTTATCGGTCTTGTTACGACGTAGTTTCAGCTTAAGCTTTCGGGGTATTTGTCCTGGCGTGCGGTTTTCAATAGGTCCAAAACATTCATTGTATTCCGATTCAAGATATCCTACAGCTTTTTCGAACATTACAATCCTCAGATTCTCGATCTGGTCCACATCTAACTGGGCACAAAGTTCCTCAATGGTATCATTTTTGGAATTATCCAATCCTTGCTCCATAATACGCTCAATAGCGTCCATATTTTCGGAAGATATTATCAAATCCGTGAAAGATTTTTCATGTGCGGCCATCTTGGTCACGTGCTTTAGTCAATTTGTTTCTATTTTACTCTGTAATATTGATAAGTAATTGGGAAATTCCATTAATGCATATTATTGTAGAATGATGCATACCATTGTAAATGGTAATATTGAGCAGTAATTAGGAAAATCAATTAATGCAAACTACTGTAGAATGATGCATACCATTAAAATGTCATTTTATACAATAATATTGAGTAATAATTGGGATATTTAATCAATGCATACTATTGTTGAAATGATGCACACCATTGTAAATATCAAGTTACACTGAATATTGAGCAGTAATCGGGATTTGGGATATTGAATCAATGCATACTATTGTAGAATGATGCACACCATTGTAAATATCAAGTTACACTGAATATTGAGCAGTAATCGGGATTTGGGATATTGAATCAATGCATACTATTGTAGAATGATGCATACCATTGTAAATGTCATATATTCTGTAATATTGAGCAGTAATCGGGAAATGATGTAAATAACATCTTGAGACATGTCAGAGCAAAATGCTAAAATAAATGTTTAATCCCTAATTATTCAATTTCAGTGGAATGAGTTTTGAAAACTAATCCGTTTACTAAAGTTAATGGATTAATTTCTACAACTGACGGTTCTAAGTTCCAATAAAAATAATTTGCAAATGAATTCTTTAAAATAAATTTGATGGCATAATGTCCCCAACGCTATGATAAACATTGTGTTAAATTTTGAAATAAATCCATCAACTCTGTGGAAAGTTACTGTTTTAATTTTAATAAGTTTTCCTCTCGGTTTTACATGTACTACATTGTTTCTCTTTCACATTGAGTTTTATATTAATCTATTTGTTAGAGTTTATGCATTAATTTAATGTCACATTTAGAGATACAATAATATTGAGTAATAATTGGGATATTAATCAATGCATACTATTGTTGAAATGATGCACACCATTGTAAATGTCAAGTTACACTGAATATTGAGCAGTAATCGGGATTCGGGATATTGAATCAATGCATACTATTGTAGAATGATGCATACCATTGTAAATGTCATATATTCTGTAATATTGAGCAGTAATCGGGAAATGATGTAAATAACATCTTGAGACATGTCAGAGCAAAATGCTAAAATAAATGTTTAATCCCTTATTATTCAATTTCAGTGGAATGAGTTTTGAAAACTAATCCGTTTACTAAAGTTAATGGATTAATTTCTACAACTGACGGTTCTAAGTTCCAATAAAAATAATTTGCAAATGAATTCTTTTAAATAAATTTGATGGCATAATGTCCCCAACGCTATGATAAACATTGTGTTAAATTTTGAAATAAATCCATCAACTCTGTTGAAAGTTACTGTTTTAATTTTAATACGTTTTCCTCTCGGTTTTACATGTACTACATTGTTTCTCTTTCACATTGAGTTTTATATTAATCCATTTGTTAGAGTTTATGCATTCATTTAATGTTACATTTAGAGATACAAGAACAAGCGCATGAAACATAATACTTCATAATTCATGTTCTATGTTATCTAGATTATCTGAGATAAACATCAGCTTGGTCTCAGTAATACATTTGTTTCTATTTTACACAGTGTAATATTGATCAGTAATTGGGGTATTCCATTGATGCATACTATTGTAGAAATGTATACCATCGTAAATGTCATTTTATACTGTAATATTGAGCAGTAATTGGGAAATACAATTGATGTAAACTATCGTAGAGTGATGCATACCATTAAAATTCATTTTATACAATAATATTGAGTAATAATTCGGATAACAATCAATGCATACTACTGTTGAAATGATGCATACCATTGTAAATGTCAAGTTACACTGAATATTGAGCAGAAATTGGGATTCGGGATATTGAATCAATGCATACCATTGTAGAATGATGCATACCATTATAAATGTCATATATTCTGTAATATTGAGTAGTATTGGGAAATGATATAAATAACATCTTGAGACATGTCAGAGCAAAATGCTAACATAAATGTTTAATCCTTAATTATTAAATTTCAGTTTAATGAGTTTTGAAAACTAATCCGTTAATTAAAGTCAATGGATTAATATCTACAACTGGCGGTTCTAAGTTCCAATAAATATAATTTGCAAATGAATTCTTTTAAATAAATTTGATGGCATAATGTCCCGAACACTATGATAAACATTGTGTCAAATTTTGAATTAAATCCATCAATTCTGTGGAAAGATACTATTTTAATGAATGAGTTTTCCTCTCGGTTTTACTACATTGTTTCACCTTCAGATTGAGTTTACATTTGAGAACAGAGGCTCCATTTTACACAGATACAACCTACAATCTGTATGCCCTTTGTTAAACAACGTGTATTTCCTTATATTTCACAATTCATGTTTTCTGTTATCTATTATATCTGCTGTATTATAAGTGTTAAAAAAACAATTTAGTTATCTCAAACAATGTGTTTATAAAATCTGAAAAACCACCAGATTATAGTCCCTTTGATAAAGTAGTTTCTATTTAGATATCCATATGACAAGTTTACATTAATCCGTTTGTTATAATTTATGGATTAATCTAATAGTACTTGTGTGGGGTACTATGATATAAAATTATAGAAAACAGTTTTGAACAATGGAATGTAACTAATACTTATTAACTTTTGTACATAGATTTTACCCCACTGAGTGTTAAAATCACAAAGTTATATATCTTAATGACAATTCACTTTATTAATAGACAACAGAGAAGGGATAAGCTTCTCCAATTTGTTTATCTAATAGCTTAAATATTTCAGTTGTGGTTAATAAGCTAGATAAGTTATTTTACTTTATTAGCGCTGCAAGCAATGAGACCTGATGACGTCATTTCGTATAGTTAGAGTATCTCCTGTTTTGGGGGTCTGATTTGGGAGTATCTCCTGATATAAGCTGAAATAAGCTGTCTCTAGCACAGAATAGGCTGCATATCTCCTGTTGTGTATATCCAGTACTGTATGAATAGTAAGATATAGTCAGTTTTTTTAAGAGTATAGACAGAAGATATTTAATATAGATAGCAAATCTCCTGATCATATTTCCATTTAAATTAGTATAATTGGGGACCTATTCTTTGACATACCATCAAATAATTTGATATAGGTAGTATGATACTCAAATTTGTCCGTATTAAACATTTGATATCTGACTATATTTTAGGGGATTCTAAGGAGATTTGCAAACTATTTATGCAAATCTCCTGAAATAAAACAGGAGATATCGCACATTTTGCACAGTGCAATCAGGGAATGAATTATTGCTTATGAAAGCAGATTTAGCACTGACCATAGTTGAATCTTTGGATGAAAACAGTTGGATTTGTGCTAATATTTTACCATTTATTATTGCAGGCTGATCAGTGTAGTGAAACAGTGTGTGAATTTCATATCTGATTGTTCCTCAGCGGAGCGTTGCATACTAGCATATCTACATGATCTTTACACTTCATCGACATATATCAAGGTATGATACATTGTCATGATTATTAACCTTTTGACTACCCAGGGTAACCTTGAAACCTAGAGTTACAAGACAATCCGTCATAGAATATTTCACTAAAATTGCTCTTATTTGAACAATTTTCATTCAATTTACATAAAAATTGTTTTAGAATGTGTAGAAATGAACTCTGCGGTCTGATTTTATTAAAATGAGCATCGTCTGTTGTATTTGTATGTATTAAAATGCCGAAAGCTGGCAAAAAATGAAAATTCTCTGGTTTCAATCAATATTAGAGCCTGGTATTCTAAAGGTTAGAGGAAATTGACTAAATAAAAATGCAATTTATATTCAAAGGAAAGATGGCAGCATGGTTTGTCTATAATGAAAATATATGTACAGACAAACAATGCTGCCTCCTTTCTATCGACTCGGTACATTTGGTAAATTCTGGTTTGTGAGTATCAATGATTTTGAATACTACAGCTCTCTATGTTCATATTTTCAATACATTTTATTTATAGAATCGATTCCAAGAGGATTTTGCGAGTGTATGTTCCAAAGTGAAGCAAGTTCTTTATGAGATGTTGACGCCAACTGCCTCCAATTTGAGATGGGACCCTAACTATCTAACTCACCTCATCACAAGTGCAAAGTAAGATTTTATAGCTCAAACCAAGGAGGATTGGCTCCCAGAATGCAATCTCGATATTTTTCAACAATGAATCCGATATTTGAGAATGTTGTGATTTTCACTTCAAATATTGAATCACAAGTTTTTGCTTTATTACATAACAAAAAAATCAAAACACGCAAGAAGTGATCAAGATATTAGCTCGAATCTTTTGGATTGCTGATTATAAGGAGTTTAATAACGACATTCTGACATTTTCATTGTTGGAAAAAGAGAGACTGGGAGCATCCTCCTTGGGCTCAAACATATGTATTTTTGAATACTGTTTTACCCTATTTTGCTCTTTAAATTTTAAATGAACTGCTAACCATATTAAGTATACATTTTAACTTTCTGATTCCACTCTTCTGGTCTTTTTGCATTATAAAATATAAATATGATGACTTGATATTGTCCCTCCTTAATGCCTCAGTTACATTTGCTCAGATTTTCAATCTGGCGCCTGGCCGATTGAATATTTTGTTCAAAATTGCGCCGGATTGAAAATCATAGCAAATGCAACTCAGGCATAAGTCTGGATTTCTTTACCATTCTTTTTCGACAAAGAGATGTTAATATGGGATATATTTTATTTATTTTAGCAACCAATCAAAGCCTGAACGAGCCTTGGTGACCCAACTGAGTGAGAACCCAACGAATCGTTACAGCTTTGTGATAAACGCCCTCCTCAATGTCTGTAATGGACAAAGCATAGAAAGGTTTGTTTCCCTAAAATCCTGAAATAAACGTCAACATTTTCAATATTTTGATCAATTATCATTACCACAATCATTCATGTAATATTTGAGATACTACTTACAGGTTAAACGAGACATCTATACTGTGTGCTGAGTTGACGGCATGTTGCAACAAGCTGAGTGCTGAATGGCTAGGACTTCTCAAGGCGTTATGCTGCTCAGCCAATCACAGCAATTGTGGCTTCATCGATGCTCTAGCCCAGGTTGATGTCACAGATTTATCAATTCATGACTCGTTGGCTGTTTTTACCGCAATTTTAGTCGCCCGTCATTGTTTCTCGCTCCACGATTTTGTTTATCACGTTGCCCTGCCATCTCTGCTGTCAGCTATTCCTACAGGTTAGTGTTTTAATATTTTCCTTTCCCTTTTTCTTAATAATTAGATACATAAGGGTTATGTACTGGGAGGTTTTGGATATGGGGTTTATCCAGAGGGAGATATGCATATTTACCTGAGGGACCGTAGGGACCGAAGGTAGATGTGAATATCTCACGAGTTATGAACCCCATATCCAAACCGACCGTACATAACTGCTTTATCATATACCAAGTAGAGTTTTCAAGGGCATATGGCCATTTTTATAGTACATAGTGTAAAAATAAACAAATCATTCACATGCAAAGTCATTTTATTGCATTACCGGAAGCGGGAAGATATGCACCGGAAGCGGGAAGATATGCACTGAAGCGGGAGATATGGAGGTTCTGGATATGGAAACCTCAAAATCAGGATACGGGATATATCTTACCAACTTATCTCCCTAAAACTCTACTTGGCATAGGATAAATGTAGTTTTATAACCATGTGGATACCTTGGTTAAGATAACATGAGTTGGTTATTCCTTAGCATTAAAGTAATTCGACACTGCACTCACTTTAGCTTTTGAAAATAGGAAAATTCATTTGTACAGAATTGAAGTCATGAATTTTGAAAATTAGATTTTCAGACTGAATTCGGAGAGAATACAAAAATTCCTTACATATAAATACTGTCTGATAATAAATTATTTTTTGTAAAGGTGGAGGTGACCGTGACGCAGAAACTGGTGCAAGATTGACCTGCCATCTATTGTTGCGGTTATTTAAAACGGCACCTTCGGGATCAATGACAGCAATTCCAAATGTGAAAAATGTCTGCAGTATAAGATTGTCAAGTGATCGCCATCTATTGGCTGCGGCACAGAGTAAACTGAAGCAAGGGCCCATCCTGGCTGTCTTGAAGTTGATCCTTATTTTAGGTGAGTATTTATTGTTAAGAAATATATATGAAATAAAAAATGCTTCATTGGAGCATTATTATGGAGGCCTTTTTCAAATGTTATACAGTTAACAATTTGGAATTTTACACATCTTTACTTTGTTCTGTTATAAATTTGTGTTCCATCATACAAAATTAAATGTTCCCGAGACAGGTTGTCCCAAAAATAGCTCCCCAATTCAACTAGTCCTGAGTTTTAATGCGTAATAAATTTAAACAGTATTGGAGTGTTAGTATGGGACATAATAAACTGAATTTAGAATATAAATAGTACATATAAAAAGTACATAGCCTCATTCCAATATTTCTGTGAAAATAATTACATAAACACAAAATTAAGATGAGATTTGAATGGACAAAAATAGTCACCAGATATTGAGGAATTAATTTTACAATTTCAGCGGACTCCGGTAACTATGAGCCAAAGTCAAAGTCTGCCGCTGAGAAATCTGGTGACATCATCACAAAGTTGTTCAGTAGCCTTGAAGATGATGAGGATATGGACATGATGTTGGGGTCAGTAGCAACTTTTGTCCTTTCCTAGTAGCAGACGTCTTTCATTTCATTGGTCATCAGTAGCAACTTTTGTCCTTTTCTAGTAGCAGACGTCTTTCATTTCATTGGTCATCAGTTGCAACTTTTGTCCTTTTCTAGTAGCAGACGTCTTTCACAGTGTTGACTACGTTTGCAATAATCTTTTGTGAGTATTGACATATTGTTATTAGCCACCTTTTTGTGACCAACATTCAGCATTGGTGTTTGCCTTTCATATCAAACGATTACACATCTTTTTTTGAAATTGCAATCAGGTGGTGACATTTCATTCTGTAAATTACATGTTTCTTACTTTAATATTTCCCTCATAAGCAATTTATTCTCTTATTTTAGGACATCTTCAAAGAGAATTGGAATGAAATCAGTGGGTCTAAATCAATTTGCCAAACACACGTTACGGGAGATGTGCAGTCAGTCTTGGGTGCGTGAAAAGTTCCTTAAAGATCCTCAGAATCTTTTCCAGCATGACCTACTTTTGGATGATCAGCTTACGCCAAAACAGGTAAAGCTCCCTTTTTTCTTTTTTTTATTATATCTTGGTTACCTCCATTTTGGCGAGCAATACCTCATTGGTATATTCCATATTTTTACGTATTTTACACTCGAAGACAGAGCCAGAAACCCCTCCTTGGAGGAGCCCTGTGTTCTTTTGTGTGCACAGGTACACAGACATACAGGTACACAAGACAGCCTTTTATACGAGTCGTGAACCACTCAGTCAAACACCCAGAATGACATAACGCTCAAACAAACTTGTCTGAATCAGGAATCAAACCCGGGGCCAAGCGATATTGGTAACCTTGACTCTGCCACTGAACCAAAGCTGGTGGACTTTGTTTCAGCTGGGATTGCTATACTATAGGAATTCCTTCATGAAAAAATTAAATGTCATAATTATGTCATCACCACAAGTAATGGGACAGTCTCCAACTTTTTGTGGACTTTGTTTGGTTTTTGGTGTTTGGCATTAGGCACTTGGTGTTTGGCATTTGGTGTTTGGTTGTTGGGATCTGTAACAAATGGTAGGTGGTGACATTTTGCAAGTTTTAATGCCTTGTTTAGTCTTGTCATCAAACAAAATCATATCTCATTCACCTCACATTGATGGAAAATTAGCTACATCGCTCCACAACTGTTAACATTTGGTCTCACCTTTTAAAATAAGAATTAATATTGGATATACTTAAAGGAACAGACAACACATATGGAGAAAATCTACCCTTAGGTCCCCTAGAAAATTTAAATACCATGTTATGTAACTTTAATTAGGCATCCACCTTATTTTGGGAAATTTGGCAATTTGAAAAAATTAAATGTGTAGCTGAATCAGTATGCTACTGAATTTAAGTTATAACAAAAAAGGTCCAATATAAGTTTTTATTTTTATTTAAGTTTTGCATCATTTCAGTATACAAAAATGTTAACATTCAATAGACTGGGACATATACCCTTGTTCTGAAGGTATCAAAGCTTAAAAAATCCTCACCTAGAAAGCAGATAAGCAGAATGACAAATTCCAAAATCAAAAAAATAGTCATAAGTCTTTCATCACACTATCGGTGGGATAAAGTTTTTTGTCATCACAATTTCAGGAAATCTGCTCATCGGATTTTCTTCAAACTCGCAGACATGATGGATATCAAGTTCAAGCCTTGTGAAATTTTATGAAACAATTTATTCATTTTCTTCAGGAACAATTTTCCAAGCTTCAATAAATTACAGAAAAATGGTTTCCTTGTCTATTGATTGTGTAATTGACATATATCATAAAGAAATAAAACATTTTAAGGTTAATTATTAATATATTTGCTCTTTAACATATGTTTATATATTGTTTTAATAGGATGAATATTCTATGAATCCAAAAATGCTAACAAATTATTTTTGCGTATATGCTCCAAGGACATTATAGTAAAATAACAATACATTATAGTAAAATAACAATACATTATAGTAAGATAACAATACATTATAGTAAAATAACAATACATTATAGTAAAATAACAATATGGTAAAATATTTTGGGTGAAACACTACTCTGAAAGGAACACCTTTCTATATCATTTTTTAATAAACAGTTTTCAAAATAATTTACAACCATTTTAATACTCTCGTTGTAAGGCAAACCTTTCTTAAAGTATCTACATTAAACAGTCTTCAAATGAATTTACTTGATTCCCCTGATGATAAACTCTCTCTATTATCTTTGAATTCCATTTTAATGAACTCTCTATGTAATACTATAAGGTGAACTTTTCTGATGTCATCTTTCTCAAATGAATTTTTTCCATCTTAATTTACTTTCCCAGGAAGGAACGCCTCTATGTATTTATCATCTATATTAAACAGTTTTCAAATGAATTGACTGGCATTTAACAAACTCTTTCTCTAAGGAACATTCCTCAATAACATCTTTATCAAACAACTTTCACCATGTTAAACACTCCCTCTGTAAGCAATACATTTAACCTCCTGAATCCCAGGCTCTAAAATCGGTTGAAACCACTAACCACTAACCACTAAGGGGGGTCTTAGTTTTATAACAGGGTCTTAGTTTTATTACGTGGGGGGTCTTAGTTTTATAACAGGGTCTTAGTTTTATAACGTGGGGGGTCTTAGTTTTATAACAGGGTCTTAGTTTTATAACGTGGGGGGTCTTAGTTTTATAACAGGGTCTTAGTTTTATAACGTGGGGGGTCTTAGTTTTATAACAGGGTCTTAGTTTTATAACGTGGGGGGTCTTAGTTTTATAACAGGGTCTTAGTTTTATAACGTGGGGGGTCTTAGTTTTATAACGTGGGGGGTCTTAGTTTTATAACAGGGTCTTAGTTTTATAACGTGGGGGGTCTTAGTTTTATAACAGGGTCTTAGTTTTATAACGTGGGGGGTCTTAGTTTTATAACAGGGTCTTAGTTTTATAACGTGGGGGTCTTAGTTTTATAACAGGGTCTTAGTTTTATAACGTGGGGGGTCTTAGTTTTATAACAGGGTCTTAGTTTTATAACATGGGGGGTCTTAGTTTTATAACAGGGTCTTAGTTTTATAATGTGGGGGGTCTTAGTTTTATAACAGGGTCTTAGTTTTATTACGTGGGGGTCTTAGTTTTATAACAGGGTCTTTGTTTTATAACGTGGGGGGTCTTAGTTTTATAACAGGGTCTTAGTTTTATAACGTGGGGGGTCTTAGTTTTATAACAGGGTCTTAGTTTTATAATGTGGGGGGTCTTAGTTTTATAACAGGGTCTTAGTTTTATAACGTGGGGGGTCTTAGTTTTATAACAGGGTCTTAGTTTTATAATGTGGGGGGTCTTAGTTTTATAACAGGGTCTTAGTTTTATTACGTGGGGGGTCTTAGTTTTATAACAGGGTCTTAGTTTTATAACGTGGGGGGTCTTAGTTTTATAACAGGGTCTTAGTTTTATTACGTGGGGGGTCTTAGTTTTATAACAGGGTCTTAGTTTTATAACGTGGGGGGTCTTAGTTTTATTACATGGGGGGTCTTAGTTTTATAACAGGGTCTTAGTTTTATAACGTGGGGGGTCATAGTTTTGTAGGTCTTAGGTCTTAGGTCTTTGTTTTGTAGACACCCCCTCACCAATGGCAAATTAGTAATTGTTGAAAACAGTGCAAAGAAAACCTTCTCAACAGTTGTAATGATGACATACTCTGTATGCTATGCAACAATAGTTACACATAAAATGGCACAATAAGTTTACCCAATGGTCCATTTATCTCTGTGGACTGCTGTAAACATTTTTTATTTAATCTAGCAATGAAGTAGGAATTTTCACTTCAATGCAATTATATGTAGTCATACATCATATCAGAGTTGTTCTGCAGAACTGAAAATGAGAGGACTGATGAAAGTGTAACATTAAGGTATAACATATCTACTATTATGAAACACCCTTTACATTTAAACACATTTCCAGTCATTTATATTGTACACTTATTAGATACATACAAAATGATGAAAATGCAATTGCGTAATGCGTATGGTGGTTTCTTCTGAGAAGAGTAGAAAAAGTAGTTAAGTTAGGTTTTTGCTATAAACTGCAACTCCCTTTATGTTTAAAATGTAAACAACCCATGTTTAACCAAGTAGAATCTTGATTGCATGTGTAGTTTGTGTGTTAATTATGTACAGTTAAGGTTTAGCTTGAAAGTAACATTTTGGTAAAAAATTGCTATACCTGCACATGTTATTTTCTTGTACAAAATTAAGTATGAAGGCATGTATTTCCTTTGCTTTTTTCTGGAAATTATAATTACACTGTCTTCTTTTAATAAACCTGGAAACGGTCCAATGGTAGCTCCTGTCTTGTCCGGAAACTTTGAAAGAAAATTTGGAAAAATAGAAAGTGTGAAATATCAGAATTTCCTGGAGTTCCCATTGAACTTCTGCCAGATATTTTAAAAGAAGACAATGTAATGATACTTTCCTGAAAAAAGCAAGGAAATTGACAAATGCCTTCATACTTTATTTTGTACCAGAAAATAACATGTGCAGGTATAGCAATTTTTTACCAAAATGTTGCTTTCCAACTGTACCTTAGATCATTTAATATAACCTGTTGTTGTGTAAGTAGACGGTCATATATGGTTAAATGAAAATTTGTGGTCAGTCAATCTCCAAGGTCCCACCGAATAATTACAGCACTTACTAGCTTCACAATCACTTTAATTTCAAGAATACTGTATATCTTGCAAAATCACAAAATATTAATCATGCAATCAAATAATGTTTTACAGTTATCTGGAATCTCCCATGTTGTGCTCATTAATAAGTTCTGCAATTGTATAGTAATGTTCCTATTCAAATGGTGTATCAGATCCAATGCTGCTCAAAATTTGGGTGGTCATTTTAAATTCTGCATGTGCAATTGGTTGGTTATTTGTAGTTTCAAGAAAAAAATGATTCAGTGAATTTACTTCAAATCCTTAAGGTCCTTATGTTGTGTGATCTCCCATATTGTAATATATAGTGCCTAGCATCTCAAACTCACATTGACCACTGAATGTGAATCATTATGAAATTGTGCAAGAACAACACCTTCTATTGTCAAAATGGTCACTCTGATCAATGAGTTCTAATATACTTCTGTAACCAGAATTTGAATCCTCTCCATACTCATGGTTAATGCCAAGATTTCCTGAATCATCAGATTGGTTTGCAGTTTGGCCACACTGTTCAATCAGTTCTAATGCTCCTGTGTAATCAGCATGGGAATCTCCTCCATACTGGTGGGCCATGTCAAGACTTTGCATGAAATAAGACAAAGCTTCTGTGTGGTTCCCAATTTCTTGATTAATTATTCCAATGTTTCTTAATAAGCAAGTGATATCAGGATGAGGATTGTCTTGATGGATCCGTCTTAACATTGCCAGACTCTCCTTTTGATATTCTAGTGCTTGAGTGTTATCTCCCATGATAAGATACGCATTGCCAATGTTGTTAAGTGAATTAGCAACATTTGTATGGGGACTGTCTTTATGGATCAGTCTTAACATCACCAGACTCTCCTGATGATATTTCAGTGCTTCGGTGTTATCACCCATATTGAAATACACATTGCCAATGCTGTTTAGGGAATTAGTAACATCTGGGTGGGGACTGTCTTGATGGATGAGTCTTCTCATTTCCAGACCCTCCTGATGATATTTCAGTGCTTCATCGTGATCTCCCATGTTATCATATACATTGCCAATGTGGTGAAATAAAGCAGCAAAATTTGGATGGGGACTGTCTTGATGGATCAGTCTATACATTGCCAAACTCTCCTGATGATATTTCACCGCTTTAGTGTGATCTCCAAAACTATCATATACTTTGCCAATGCTGTGAAGTGAAATAGCAACATCTGTCTGGGGACTGTCTTGATGGATCAGTCTATACATTGCCAGGCTCTCCTGATAATGTTTCAGTGCTTCAGCATGATCTCCTATGTTAGCATACACATTGCCAATATTGTGAAGTGAAATAGCGACATCTGAATGGGGACTGTCTTGATGGATCAGTCTTCTCATTTCTAGACCCTCCTCATGATATTTCAGGGCTTCACTGTGATTTCCCATGTCGTAATACACATTGCCAATATTGTCAAGTGAATTAGCAACATCTGTATGGGGACTGTCTTGATGGATTAGTCTTAACATTTCCAGGCTCCCATGATGATGTTTCAGTGCTTCAGTGTGATCTCCCATGTTATTATATACATTGCCAATGCTGTGAAGTGAAATAGCAACATCTCTATGGGGACTGTCTTGATGGATTAGTCTTCTCATTTTCAGACTCTCCTGATAATGTTTCAGTGCTTCAGCATGATCTCCTATGTTAGCATACACATTGCCAATATTGTCAAGTGAATTAGCAACATCTGTATGGGGACTGTCTTGATGGATTAGTCTTAACATTTCCAGGCTCCCATGATGATGTTTCAGTGCTTCAGTGTGATCTCCCATGTTATTATATACATTGCCAATGCTGTGAAGTGAAATAGCAACATCTCTATGGGGACTGTCTTGATGGATTAGTCTTCTCATTTTCAGACTCTCCTGATAATGTTTCAGTGCTTCAGCATGATCTCCTATGTTAGCATACACATTGCCAATATTGTCAAGTGAATTAGCAACATCTGTATGGGGACTGTCTTGATGGATTAGTCTTAACATTTCCAGGCTCCCATGATGATGTTTCAGTGCTTCAGTGTGATCTCCCATGTTATTATATACATTGCCAATGCTGTGAAGTGAAATAGCAACATCTCTATGGGGACTGTCTTGATGGATTAGTCTTCTCATTTTCAGACTCTCCTGGTGATGTATCAGCGCTTCAGTGTGATCTCCCATGTTGTAATACACATTGCCAATTTCATTAAGTGAAGTAGCGACATCTGAATGGGGACTGTCTTGATGGATCATTCTTCTCATTTTCAGACTCTCCTGATGATATTTCAGTGCTTCAGTGTGATCTCCCATGTTATGATATACAAGCCCAATGCTGTGAAGTGAAGTAGCAATATCTGTGTGTGGACTGTCTTGATGGATCAGTCTTTCCATTGCCAAACTCTCCTGATGATATTTCAGTGCTTCAGTGTTGTCTCCCATGTTATAATAATCATTGCCAATGTTGTGAAGTAAAGTAGCAACATCTGGGTGGGGACTGTCTTGATGGATTAGTCTTCTCATTTCCAGACTCTCCTGATGATATTTCAGTGCTTTAGTGTTGTCTCCCATGTTGTAATACACATTGCCAATTCTGTGAAGTGAATTAGCAACATCTGTGTGGGGACTGTCTTGATGGATTAGTCTTAACATTTCCAGGCTCCCATGATGATGTTTCAGTGCTTCAGTGTGATCTCCCATGTTATTATATACATTGCCAATGCTGTGAAGTGAAATAGCAACATCTCTATGGGGACTGTCTTGATGGATTAGTCTTCTCATTTTCAGACTCTCCTGATAATGTTTCAGTGCTTCAGCATGATCTCCTATGTTAGCATACACATTGCCAATATTGTCAAGTGAATTAGCAACATCTGTATGGGGACTGTCTTGATGGATTAGTCTTAACATTTCCAGGCTCCCATGATGATGTTTCAGTGCTTCAGTGTGATCTCCCATGTTATTATATACATTGCCAATGCTGTGAAGTGAAATAGCAACATCTCTATGGGGACTGTCTTGATGGATTAGTCTTCTCATTTTCAGACTCTCCTGATAATGTTTCAGTGCTTCAGCATGATCTCCTATGTTAGCATACACATTGCCAATATTGTCAAGTGAATTAGCAACATCTGTATGGGGACTGTCTTGATGGATTAGTCTTAACATTTCCAGGCTCCCATGATGATGTTTCAGTGCTTCAGTGTGATCTCCCATGTTATTATATACATTGCCAATGCTGTGAAGTGAAATAGCAACATCTCTATGGGGACTGTCTTGATGGATTAGTCTTCTCATTTTCAGACTCTCCTGGTGATGTATCAGCGCTTCAGTGTGATCTCCCATGTTGTAATACACATTGCCAATTTCATTAAGTGAAGTAGCGACATCTGAATGGGGACTGTCTTGATGGATCATTCTTCTCATTTTCAGACTCTCCTGATGATATTTCAGTGCTTCAGTGTGATCTCCCATGTTATGATATACAAGCCCAATGCTGTGAAGTGAAGTAGCAATATCTGTGTGTGGACTGTCTTGATGGATTAGTTTACTCATTGCCAAACTCTCCTGATGATATTTCAGTGCTTCAGTGTTGTCTCCCATGTTATAATAATCATTGCCAATGTTGTGAAGTAAAGTAGCAACATCTGGGTGGGGACTGTCTTGATGGATTAGTCTTCTCATTTCCAGACTCTCCTGATGATATTTCAGTGCTTTAGTGTTGTCTCCCATGTTGTAATACACATTGCCAATTCTGTGAAGTGAATTAGCAACATCTGTGTGGGGACTGTCTTGATGGATCAGTCTTTCCATTTCCAGACTCTCCTGATGATGTTTCAGTGCTTTAGTGTGATCTCCCATGTTATCATATACATTGCCAATGTTGTGAAGTGAATTAGCAACATCTGTGTGGGGACTGTTTTGATGGATCAGCCTGTACATTGCCAGACTCTCCTGATGATGTTTCAGTGCTTTAGTGTGATCTCCCATGTTATCATATACATTGCCAATGTTGTGAAGTGAATTAGCAACATCTGGATGAGGACTGTTTTGATGGATCAGCCTGTACATTGCCAGACTCTCCTGATGATGTTTCAGTGCTTTAGTGTGATCTCCCATATTATTATAAACACTGCCAATGTTGCGTAGTGAATTAGCAACATGTGGGTGGGGACTATCTTGATAGATTTTTTTATACATTGCCAGGCTCTCATGAAGATACTCCAGTGCTTTAGTGCAATCTGCTATTTCAAGACCAAGATTGTTCATTGAATGGGCAAGATCTTCATGGGGCCTGTCTTGATGGATCAGTTTTTCAATTTCTAGACTCTTCTGATATAGTGTTAATATTTTAGTGCGATCCTTACTAATGTCATATGTACTGGCAATGTTGTTAAGAGTAGCAGAAAAATTTGGGTGGGAACTTTGTTGGTGGATCAGTGTTTTCATTGCCAGACTCTTATGATGGTATTTCAGTTGTTGAGTCTCTTCTCCTCTGCAATTATATACATACCCTATTTTACTTAGAAGTGCAGAAATCATCTCTTTATCATCTAGATCTCTACATATTTCAAGACTCTCCTCAAGATATTGAAGTGCAATGGCATATTTGCCTTGGGCCTTATATAGATCACCTATTTCTGTAAGGATGGAACTGATGTCCTTCTCTTGACCTCCATATTCAATGTTCTTAAGTGTTTTCAATTCTGCTTTATATACAAATAGTGCCCTCTCAAAGAAAAATGTGTTCTTGTATAACTCTCCTTTCACTTTATTATTTTCTTCAAAGTATTTGTTCTCATATACCCATGGATTCTTGTTATCAACGTTTGAATTGAGGAATTTACACCAAGGGTTGAAAATGTTGTAAAAGCGGAAAATGGCTGTAAAACTTCTGACTGGTATGACCTCTTGTGTTTCATCATCATTGGAACTGTGTAAGAATGATATGAGCTCCTTTTGTTGCTTATAATTACCATAGACCATATGTCTAAGATTGATGACAGTACTAACCATCATCTGGAGATCCTTCTTGGCCCTTAAGGTCAAAATTCCTTTCTCCTGCAATTCCTCTAAGACATCTAGAGGGGCAGATGATGAACAGCCATGCATTAGTTTCAAAATGTTTATAGATATTGTAGCAAATCTGTAAACATCATGCTTGGTATGTATTTTCTTTGAGAATGATTTTGATGTCAATGGGTTCTCATTGTATTTTTCCAAATCTTCTCTCAATGTCTTCATTGCTCGTTCCTTCCCAACAGTGATTTTTGGATTTTCTGTTGAGGATGATGCTAGTATTGCATGGACTTTGTCATTGTACTCCTTCCAAAGATGTTGATCTCCAATTATGAGGGTTGATGACATTAGAACATCACTAAGGTGGTATCCCTCCTTAAGTGATTCATCCTTATACTGAAATTTACTCATCTCTTCAACAGTCATGATCAGTTCAAGTCTTGCAGGTTTGCTAGTGGTAAGGTCCTTTTTAGATTTCCTACCAATAGCTGTCTTACTAGCCCATGGCTGTGTTCCATCAAAAGAAACCCCTCTGGTGGTCACTTTATCCCAAAAGTCATTGTCTGTCATGTCATGTGGAAGGTGATTGTTATAATCTGTCAGAACTGGTATGTCTAAGCAGTTTAACAGTGTTTCCCCCAAGTTTAAAACCTTTAAGTGCATGTAATAGGCTATCATACGCAATTGCATTTTGACATTTTCTACTGGTTTACCTAAAGAATCATACAATATTGCCCACTCTATGTCAGAGTATGCTGTGACCTCTTGACGAGACAGGGAACCAAGTGCTAAAAATGCAAATTTACAATCGGGCTCCCCTAAAACAGAAATGCAATCTTCAATCATAGATTTATAAAAATCTAAAAGCTGTTTTGTGAGTCCACCATACAGATCTTTACTGTGTTTTATAGTGTTGTCTTCATCTTCTTCTTTCATCTCTGTTGTTACCTCATCAACTGTCATGTCTTCCTTTATGATGGTATTCACAGTGGTGTTGGAATAGTCCCTTATCTCTTTCAGTATTTCTCTGTACTTTTGAGTTGAATCTTTTGTGGGCACTTCACAATTTTTTGACAGCTTTTCTAAAAAGCTGTTTTCTATAAGCTGAAGCTGCCTGTCAGTGCTTTCTAAGTCATGTTCCAGTGAGGTGTCCATGTCAGTATACTGCTTACTGTGTAACAACTCGAATCTTCGCTTTGCAGCATTGTACAATGCACAGGACCATATATAATGTTCATGCCAGATTTCCGAGGTCTGAGCTAATCTGATATGCTCCTCTCCAAGAAGGCACATCAAGTCTGCCTGTTTTCTTAGTTCTGTCTTTTGGTCACAGGCAGTTATTTTGCAACCAAGTTCATACATTGTTTGGGTAACCTCTGAAAATGAAAATTTTTTTTTTGCTTTTGATAATGATATGATAATAAGATTAAAATACTTTCAAATCTTATTTTTGCATGCAACTTCATGAGTTGATAATAGGTGGTTTAAAGGCCCCATTTGAAAGTTTCAACCACTTTGGCTCATATTATAGTCTTATTTTTAAACATTTGACCAATGGTGTTGAATTTATTATTTTCTTTAAAATAGCATTTCAGGGATCACTTGTATCTAGAAGTATTTGACATGTTTTATCATCAAAAAATCTCAGCTTTTGTAAAATAAAAATATTTGACAATTTTAAAATACCAATATTATTTTTCAAGTGAAAAATGTCTCGAACATCTTTTAAAGTTGGCCAAAAAATATATTTGGATGAATAGAAATATTATCAAACTTTACTCCGGACCTTTAATTAAGCTGGGCATGGATAAGTGAAACTTTCTTAAAAGATATGATATATAGTATTGATGCAAAGGTGAAATAAAGAACCTGAAGTTGTCAAGGTTAATGATTAATAGAATGTAAGCAGGTTCCGAATTGTTCTTGCTTTCAATTGGAATACTTTATTGATTTTATTGATGATTATACAAATACAACAAGGTCTTACAGGGTGGACCAAAAACATTTGAACATTACAAAATTGATATGCTTTATTGCCTCTAACATCAATCAAGATTAAGCTAAAGATTGATTGATTTTATGTAATAAACATAAAACAAACAAGAAATACTTATCGATTACAAACATAATTTGAGTATTGGGTGTATCAGGAGACATTTTATATTTATAGCTTGAAATATTGTATCCCTCATCACAACCTTACTTTGTTCACCTTTCAAAAAGTCTTTATGCAAAACCTTTTAAATTGTAGCAATTAATGTTGCCTCTGTAGAAAGTTATAGATCACGCCCAAAAAGAACTTGTCACTGCATCCATAAAGGACTGTCAGCCATAGATCAAGTAAAGCTCATTGTTCAGATGGTGAAGAAGAGTAAAACTTTCTAGGTTCGAAAAATTGGGTGGTCATCATAAGAAATGGAAAATGGAGAAGAACAAACCAATACTTCACTTCTCCTATAACAGGCATAGGACAGATAGCATTGGCTGTTGGACCAATTGCCCACTTTTTGGATAAGTTAATCTTGTGTTTTTACTTGCATTTCATAACATTCTTATAACAATATTTTTTTGTAATTTTGGAGAAAGATCTTGAAAAATGTTGTGATTTTTAGACCACCCTGTATATTAACTATTTATTTAGATTTTTCTCTCAAAAGCAGGACTATCCTATGAGTTAGGGTTCAGAGCTTAGACAGCTACAAACTTTTCGGTTTAGTTCAGTTTGGTTTTTGACTCCCTTGGTTTGGCTTTCGGTTGAGTTATTCTTGGTTCATATCGCACTGTTCTTATATTCTACTATAAAGAATATAAATAAAATTAGTCTTAATGATCACTATATTTTGATTTTTATACAAGGCAAGGAGGATTGGCTTCCAGATTTACAACTTGATATTTAAGTCTCCAAGCAGTTTGTTATGTGATGTTTGTGTTCCTGCATGTTTCTTTTGATGGCAATAGCAATGATAATGAGAAACATGTCATGGTGAGGTACAGGTGACGCCCATATGGATACGGATGTGTTTTTGTCAACACTGAGGAGGCTTTTTCTGAGACGTGGGGAGGTAGATTTTTAAAGTTGGAAATAGATTGTTATCTTTGACTTTTATGTAAATATATTTGAGTTTGAATGTTAACAATGCTATGTATTATTTCTTCTTTTTTGCACAAACCGACGGCTATCATCTGTGAAGGAAAATGAGCAATTTCGTCAGTGTTGACACATTTTTATCTTTTAGCCTTGGTACCATTCTGTGAACATACAATTACATCGGTAAAGTATTCACATGATGTGCGAAAACCAAGAGTGAAAAGAGTCTAAATAAGTTTTAATTGTCCTGAAAAATTAGTTTTGAGTAAACCATGAGGAGGGGTTCAAATTATTTCAGTTGACGTCAAGGAAGTGTTAAGGGAAGTGTAGAATACATGTACACTGATTGTTAACGATCTGGAAGTGTAGAAAAACTTAGTATGACATGTTACACTAGGGATCGCACATACATGTACATTATTTACGTATCTCGTTGTTATGAAATGTATTCTTTAAAGATTTGATAGATAGGTCAAGGTTAAAATAAATCTTAAAATAACAATTATGGCATTTGTTGTGTGGTACTGAAAATAAAATAAATCAATACCTACCTGAAAATACATACCTGAAAATGTATCTCGACCCTTAATAACTTGATATAAATATACCTTTATTGTGCATAGAGCTAACATGGGAACCCCACTTGACATACGTTGACGAAGCCTATGCGAAGACTTTCTGATCGTTAACACATTGAAACAAATTACAACGAATGACACACAAAACTTTTATTCGCCGCAAATTTTTAATCATGTTCAACATTTTCAGAAAAATAAGACAAATTTCAACGGATGTACAATAAACGCTCACTAACACATCCAAACGAACACCACCAACAATGTTCGATGTACTGCCAAGTACATATACTAATGGGAATGAATTTGATTCATGTCCTTGACATTAAGTTGATGTTTAGGGGGTTTCACTCATATGTGAGGGGGCCCTCAGATTGAATAATTGTAAGCAGCAAGATGGTGAAATTTTGTCATGTTAATTATGCCTTGTTTGAATTTTGTAAACACGCCATGACTCCATGTATGACAAAATATCAAGATGAAATGCTGGAAGTCAATCCTCCTTGTTCATCAGGCATTTTTTTTCAATATTTTAGAGAATATGCAATTTACAAAGGGTAATTTTCACTCAATTAATGTTTTCTGAAAAACCAAACTGAACAGCTTTTCTGAACTGTCGAGGACAATGACCGTTGGAACGCTGCACTTATGGTTAGCCATCTGACCCCTACTATGAGTACTTAATTTATTGTTACCTGATTTCTTTTGTGGTTGAGTTTGTGGGCCTGGGTTTTGTTCAACTCCTCCTCGTACCAGCAGTATCGTAATGATTTGCAGTATCAATACCATCTGTTTTGGAGATTTAACGATTCTTGATAAACGGATTGTCTTTTTTTGCCGACCTCCATTGAACATTCCAATGGCAACTCTCCATTGCTCCATTGAGATCCCCATGTTTCTGTTCCTGTCAAGTTACCTTAACTTTTTAAAATCAAATTCAGTTTTAAATTTTTCTCGATTGGATATCATTCATGAGTTTATAGTTTACTTGACCAGTGATCAAATTAATTGCAATAATTTAGGGTTCAGTTTTTGTCCCTTTGGTTTTTGAATGTCCAGTTGTGACTCTCTATTTCTTAATACAATTCACCATTTTTAAATTTTTGCCAACTTCTTTTAGTTTTCTGATATCAAGTTCTTCATTTCTGATTTTAGCAGCAGATTTGAGCAGCTATATATTCAAAATATTGTCTTGCCAAAGAAAGGTTCTCATCCAAAGATTTTTGATTATGTTTTTTACTCTTTGAAAGTTTCATGTGACATCCATTCTAAATCTTATAATGCAAAGCTGTTTTAGTAAACATCTACATAATGATCTAAGAAGGTGTAATTTATAACTAGCTTTTAAACCCAAAATAGCACATCAAGTATTGTCTGAAGTAGAGTGATAAAGCATTTTTAAACATTGCTTGATATCAAATCTATCTGCAATATTTATTTAAAAGGCGTTGGAGATTTTCTTCTCAGTATTTCATCTTGAAAAACCATTAAAATAAACTGAAATGTGTTAATAAATCTCTGATGCTTTGTTCTTATATAATTTTATGTCCCTAGGTAACATGGGGTCCCAACTACGACCATTAATTTGAATTTTAGACCTAACAGGTGTTTAAAAATCAAGGATTGTGAGTCTCATACTGCACCGTTTTTCTTCAAACTTGTTCCATTCAAAGCAAAACAAAAATGCCTTTCTGTTGTTGCATTGCTTTATTGTACAGAGTCCCTCGTTTTAGCAGTGTTTGGGTCCCCAGCTGTGGAAGTATAAGCACAAAATAATTTGTGAAACACATTCCAAGGTTTATTTATATTGTTAGAACTGTGCTATAACCTAAATACAAGTGGTCACTAATTGGTATTATACAGGGTGGGCTAAAAAACAGTACATAAGTTTTTAGATGAATATTATGAGGTTATATAATGGTTCATTCTGTATATCGTGTTTATACTCGAGTGAGTATATGATATATTCACAAGTGAGCGTAGCGAACGAGTGAATATATTATATTCTCACGAGAGTATAAAATGCACTATATACAGAATGAATCATTATATAATCTTATTATGCCACTCTAAGTTCAACTACAGTTGATTCGAACACAATCATAACGATTAAAAACCATAAAAATATCCCATAGCCAACTCAGTAATGCCGATGTTGATCTTGAACCATTTATGACGTCACTTGATTCTAGGAAATCATGCCGGAACCATTTAAGACGTCACTTGATTCTAGGAAATCATGAAAATTTTGGAGCGTCGGAACTCCTCATTCGCTCCGCTCATTCGAGGGACACAACAGTCTGTGTAACAAAACATACACGTTGTTCTTCGCTCTATATTCATTAGTTCCCAGAATGCACTTCTACAGTGGTATACGCTGGAGTGTATACGGTGGAGTGTATACGATGACGATATACCACTCTCCACTATATATCGTTGTTATAGACCCATATTATACAACTGTAATTTGACTTAGAGTGGTATAATACATGATATATAATATGCCATGTATTATTTATCATTTTACAGATAAATCATTTACAATATGAAACTTTCTGATTGAATAACCTTTCTTTTCATGTGGAGTTAGAGGCTAAAATTGACACCAGGGGCTCAAATCCTGACTTAAACAATACTATACATAAAAATACATCTTTAATTCAATGCAGTGCATATTTCTTTACAATATGTTACAATATGATTAAAAGAGTTACTGTACTAATTAATTTCGCAAATTTTGAGATATCACAATTTTGCAGCTATTAAATTTCTAATTTCACATGTTTAAATTTCAAATATTCTGTGAGTCCTCAAGCCCTGTAAACTTAGTTATAAGGATGAGATTTACAATTACGAGATTTTGGTCAATGACACGCTGCACCTGCACCTCTACATGTATTTCATCATAATTTTTTGCTATATTTGATCTAACAAGCCAGTGTAACATTACACAAAATTTAACACATCAAAGTCCCAGGTGATAGCAAATAAACAAATCCATTATGATTTAACTGTCAAATTACATCATGATTATGTTTTTCACAATTTTAACACAATATTACATCCTTCATCCACAAGTAAACACATTTTGGTCATTTATATTATACAATTAATATATTGGATACATACAAAATGATGAAAATGCAATTGCGTAATGCGTATGGTGGTTTCTATTGAGATTAGTTAGGTTTCGGTTATAAACTGAATTTAATTCTGCGATATGTCAGTATCTTCATTATTTACTTATGCTAATGTACTGTTGTTTAAGTGAGATATTCATTAGGTCACATGGTCACTCCAGTCTAGTACTCAGTCAGTCTTTTAACAGCTTACATGTAGCATTAGGCAGTAATATGCGCCGGCATTTTCTCCCACCCTCATTCCACTGGGGTCTTAGTTGCATTTGAGGGTTATTTTCATTTTATTACTTTTTCGTTTTATTTCGGTAGTTAAACTTTGGTTTTAGCTTAGTTTGTGTTATTAGTAGGTGCATAGTAGATGTTGTTATCAGGGTAATTAATTATGTAGGGTTATGTAAAGTTATATAATGTTGTGTAATGCTATGTTATATTATGTAATATTATGTAATGGTATATTTTCTATGATGCAATATATTTCTATGACTCCAAACACTCTGGTTTACTTGTTTATGCTATTTAATAAATTGTGCTTGATATGTAAACAAGCCATGTTTTGTGAAGTAGAATCTTGATTGCATGTACACTTTAAGATCATTTAACATAATGTATCATTGTATATGTGCTCAAGTGGAGAAATAGAGGTTCTTATTCTGCATCCTCATTAATAAGTTCTGTTATTGTATAGTGATGGTCCGATTCAAATAATGTGTCAATTCCAATGCTGCTCAAAAATTGTGTGGTCATTTTTAATTCTGGTCATGCATTTAGATGGTTCTTAAAATTTGAGTATTGTGTAAAGAAAAAGATGATTCTTTGAATTTACTTATCATTGTGGTTGTTATTTGTTGTCAGCATAAAAAGCTGATTACCAAGTGTCTCAAAATACTATAGTAATAATGCCCATGGAGTGTGAGTCATTATATTATAGTACAAGAACAACATCTTCTATTTCCAGATTGATCAGGGTTATCTGAAACATTAGAATGGTTTTCAATTAGACCACACTGTTCAATCAGTTCTAATGCTCCTGTGTAATCAGCATGGGAATCTCCTCCATACTGGTGAGCCATGTCAAGACTTTGCAGAAAATAAGACAAAGCTTCTGGGTTCTCCCCAATGTCAAGATGTAATCTACCTATTTTTTGTAATAAGCTAATGATATCAGGATGAGGACTGTCTTGATAGATCAGTCTATACGTTGCCAGACTCTCAAGATGATATTCTAGTGCTTGAGTCTTATCTCCCATGCTATGATACACATAGCCAATGTTGTGAAGTGAAGAAGCAACGTGTATGTGGGGACCATCTTGATGGATCAGTCTTAACATTTCAAGACTCTCGTGATGATATTCCAGTGCTTTAATGTGATTTCCCATGTAAAAGTACACACTGCCAATGTTGTGAAGTGAGGTAGCAACATCTAGGTGGGGACTGTCTTTATGGATCAGTCTTCTCATTGCTAGACTCTCTTGATGATGTTCCAGTGCTTTATTGTTGTCTCCCATGCTTAGATACACACTGCCAATGTTGTAAAGCGAAGAAGCAACATCTGGATGGGGTCTCTCTTGATGGATAAGTATTCTTATTGCTAGACTCTCTTGATGATGTTCTAGTGCTTTAGTGTTATCTCCCATACTTAGATACACACTGCCAATGTTGCGAAGTGAAGTGGCAACATCTAGGTTGGGATTGTCTTGATATTTCATCGCTTTAATGTGATCTCCCATATTATGATACACACTGCCGATTTTGTCAAGTGAGTTAGCAACATCTGGGTGGGGACTGTCTTGATGGATCAGTCTTCTCATTGTCAGACTCTCATCATGATTTTTCAGTGCTTGTGTGTTGTCTCCCATACTTAGATACAAATTGGCGATGTTGTAAAGTGAAGTAGCAACATATGGGTGGGGACCGTCTTGATGGATCAGTCTATACATTGCCAGGCTCCCATGATGATATTCCAGTGCTTTAGTGTTATCCCCCATGCTATGAAACACACTGCCAATGTTGTACAGTGAAGAGGCAACATCTGGGTGGGGATTATCTTGGTGAATCAGTCTTAGCATTAATAGACTCTCTAGATGATATTTCAGTGCTTCAGTGCTATCTCTCATGCTATGATATGCATTACCAATATTGTTTAGTGAAGTAGCAACATCTGGATGAGGACTCTCTTGATAAACAAGTCTTCTCATTGCCAGGCTCTCATGATGATATTCCAGTGTTTTCATGTGATCTCTCATGCTATGATACACATTGCCAATGTTGTTAAGTATAGCAGCAACCTCTGGATGAGGATTGTCTTGATGGATCTCCCTCCTCATTGCCAGGCTCTCCTGATGAAATTTTAGTGCATTAGTGTGATCTCCAATGTTATGATACATGCTACCAATGCTGTCGAGTGAAGTAGCAACATCAGGGTTTGGACTGTCTTGATGGATCAATCTCTTCATTGTTAAACTCTCATGATGGTATGCCAGTGCTTTTTCCTGATCCCCCATTCTATCGTAGACTTTGCCAATGTTATTAAGTGAAATAGCAACACTTGGGTGTGGATTGTCTTGATGGATCTGCCTTCTCATTGCCAGGCTCTCCTGTTGATATTTCAGACCTTTAGTGTGATTTCCAATGTTATGATACATACTACCAATATTGTCAAGTGAAGTAGCAACATCAGGGTTTGGACTGTCTTGATGGATCAGTCTTCTCATAGTAAGAGACTCATGATGATATGCCAGTGCTTTATCGTGATCTCCCATTTTATCGTAAACTCTGCCAATGTTGTTCAGTGAAGTAGCAACATCTGGATGAGGACTGTCTCGATGGATCAGTCTTTCCATTGACAGACTCTTTTGATGGAATTCCAATGCTTTAGGGTGATTTCCCATGTTATCGTAAACATTGCCAATGTTGTTTAGTGAAGTTGCAACATCTGGATGAGGACTATCTTCATGGATCAGTCTTTCCATTGACAGACTTGCTTGATGAAATTCCAGTGCTTTAGTGTGATTTCCAATGTTATCATACACTTTTCCAATGTTGTTAAGTGAAGCAGCAACATCTGGATGAGAACTGTCTTGATGGATCAGTTTTTCTCCATGGATCAATTCAAACATTTTTAGACTCTCTTGGTGGCATTCCAGTGCTCGAATGTACTCTCCCATGCTATTATAGACACTACCAATGTAGCTTAGTGAGGCAGCAACATTTGAGTGGGGACTATCTTGATGTAGCTCTTTTTCAATTGTCTGGCTCTCATGATAATAGTCCAGTGCTTTTGTGTGATCTCCCATTTTAAGATAGACATGGCCAATTTTATTTAAGGATGCAGAGATGCCCACTTTATCTTTGACAATTTTACTCATGTCAAGACTTTCTTTTTGATATTGCAGGGCAATAGCATACTGCCCTTGTGACTCATATAGATGACCTATTTCTTGTTGAATATAAGCTATGCTTTTCTGTTGTCCTTCTGTTTCAATCCTTTGAAGTCGTTTCAGTTCTCTCTCAAACTCAAACAATGCTCTTTTGAAGAAGAATATGTTCTTGTATAATTCTCCTCTGACTACACTATTTTCCTCAAAGAATCTCTGCCAGTATGTCCACGTGTCATCCACTTTCATATTTGACCGGAGGAATTCACACCATGGCATGAATATGTTGTAAAATGGTAATATTGCTGTAAAACTCCTGACTGGCATAACTTCACTTGTTCCATCATTAATTGTGTCACTATGTAGGAATGATATAAGTTCCTTTTGTTGCTTATAGCTGCCATAGACCATGTGTCTTAGATTGATAACACCACAAACCATCATTTGTAGATCCTTCTTTGCTCTCCTAGTTAAGATGTGTTTCTTGTGCAATTCCTCTAAAACATCGAGTGGGGCTGATGATGTGCAGCCATGCATGAGCTTGAGAATATTGATTGAGATTGTAGCAAATCTATAAATATCATGCTTGGTGTGTATTTTCTTTGTGAATGACTTTGGTGATAGGGGATTCTTATTGTATTTATCTAAATCATCTATCAGTGTCTTCATTGCTCTTTCCTTCCCAACAGTGATTTTTGGATTTTCTGTTGAGGGTGATGCTAGTATTGCATGGACTTTGTCATTGTACTCCTTCCAAAGATTTTGGTCTCCAAGTATGAGGGTTGATGTCATTAGAACATCACTAAGGTGGTATCCCTCTTTCAGTGATTCATCCTTATACTGAAATTTACTCATCTCTTCAACAGTCATGATCAGTTCAAGTCTTGCAGGCTTGCTAGTGGTAAGGTCCTTTTTAGATTTCCTACCAATAGCTGTCTTACTAGCCCATGGCTGTGTCCCATCAAAAGAGACCCCTCTGGTGGTCACTTTATCCCAAAAGTCATTGTCTGTCATGTCATTCGGAAGGTGATTGTTATAATCTGTCAAAACAGGTATGTCTAAGCAGTTTAACAATGTTTCCCCCAAGTTAAGTACCTTTAAGTGCATGTAATAGGCTATCATACGCAGTTGCATTTTGACATGTTCTACTGGTTTCCCCAAAGGATCATACAAAATTGCCCACTCAATGTCAGAGTATGCCGTGACCTCTTGACGAGACAGGGAACCAAGTGCTAAAAATGCAAATTTACAATCAGGCTCCCCTAAAACAGAAATACAATCTTCAATCATAGATTTATAAAAATCTAAAAGCTGTTTTGTGAGTCCACCATACAGATCTTTACTGTGTTTTATAGTGTTGTCTTCATCTTCTTCTTTCATCTCTGTTGTCACCTCATCAACTGTCATGTCTTCGTTTATAATGGTATTCACTGTGGTGTTGGAATAGTCTCTTATTTCCTCCAGTATGTCTCTGTACTTCTGAGTTGAATCTTTCGTTGGCACATCATAACTTTTTGACAGCTTTTCTAAAAAGCTATTCTCGATTAGTTGAAGCTGTTCATCAATACTAACCGAGTCATGGTCTGTCGAAATGTCTCTGTCAGTAGACAGTATTTCAATTCTTCGCTTTGCAGCATTATACAATGCACATGACCAACTGAATGTTCATACCAGATTCCTGAGGTCTGAGCTAATCTGATATGCTCTTCTCCAAGGAGACACATCAGCTCTGCCTGTTTTCTCAGTTCGGTCTTTTGGTCACAGGCAGTTATTTTGCAACCAAGTTCATACATTGTTTGGGTAACCTCTGAAAATGAAAAATGTTTTTGACTTATTTTTTCTTTTGTATCATTATACCATATTCTCTCTAATAGATGGAAATACTTACACTATTTTTGAGGGCCATTATGATTTAGCAATTGATTTAATGCATTAACCTTAATCCATTCCAAAAATTTAAAATATCTTAAAGACCCCACGGAAAGTTTCTTATTGTAGTCATTCCTAATGTTATCAAGATTTGATATATTAAATATCTGCTTGAATTATTGAAGAAGTAGTTTTGAAAAACCGTCTATCCAAAAATGAGGAATTTTTATTTACTTAAATGTCTCAATCATCTTTTTAAGTCTCCTAAAATAATATATGGATGAATAAAAAAATATCAAACTTTACATGGGACCTTTAATTATGCTATCTGTGCATGGATAAATGATACTTTAAAAAAATAGTATTGATACAAAGGTGAAATAAAGAATATGAAGTTCTTGAGGTTAATTATTGAATGTATTAAAGTACCTCATTGTTCTTGCTTTCAACTGAAATACTTTATTGATTTTATTGATGATTATTAGAGGTGTAACTCCCGAGTCAGTACTTCGAGTACAGCTCGTCAGAGCTGCCTATACATTGGCTCGAGTTGTCCTCTAGAAACTCGCAATCTATTTCAACTCGCGAGCTAGCTATAACTCGAGTCAACTCGCGAGTTTAGCCTATCTTGCAAGCATGTAAAATGAATTCGGGTCCCAGAGATCGTGCAACATTACTTCATTAGTGGAATAAATATACCAATGATCACCATTTTTAGCGCCCGTCACCTAAAAACACTCTCAAAGCTTCACAAAGTTCAACAAATATCGTGGAATGAAGAGTTACACCAAAAAATCAGAAAAAGATCGACTATCGAAGGAACGGGCGATAATAGAGTAGTCACTAAAATTGAATAAAAATGGTCCCCTTATTCTCACGTCGTTTACACGACTTTTACATAAAAAAGATGATCTATCATTAAATTAAGATCATAAGTCTTAACTTTAGATCGATAACCAGCAGTCTTTAGTATAAATAATGAAGATAATCCGGGAAAACCATTCATTAATTTGGGGGGCCCTTCTGGGTTTTCTAAAATATTGTTTGGTTAGATTCTAGCGATCTCTCATCCTTACCGTATGTGTTGACGTCTATACCAGATCGTTTTTGATTGAAATATGAGATAACTGCAATGAATACCACACTTTCTTATGGCCCCAACGTGTTAAACACCTTTTAGATGAGACTAAACCAGAGAAACTTGCCGCTTGAAGTTACAGTAATTTTTTATACCCGGGTTTACAATATGTACTGGACGAAATGAATGAACTCGAGTTTTACTCGAGTTTTGGAAATATTTGGCAAGTTGAACTTGAGTTGGATTTTTCTGGCGAGTTACACCTCTAATGATTATACAAATACAACCAAGGTCGTACAGGGTGGACCAAAAACATTTGAACACAATTTTTTCTTTATTGCCACAAACACCAAACAAGATTAAGCTTTCAATTAATTGATTTTCTGTAATGAATATAAAACAAACAAGAAATAAATATTGATCACCAACTTAATTTTTGTATTGCGTGTGTTAGGAAAGAGATTCAAATATTCATTGCTTCAATATTGTATTTTTCATCACAACCTTTGCTAACCTTTCAAAAAGCCTTTATGCAAAACCTATCAGATTGTAGCAATCAGTATGGCTATTGAGGAAAGTTAAAGATGACCCCCCCCCCCCCATAAAGAACTTGTCACTTCATCCATAAATGACTGTCAGCCATAGCTAGATCAAGCTGATTGTTCAGAGGGTGGAGAAAAGTAAATAATTAAATTCTAGGGTTTGAAAAATTGGGTGTCCACTATCCATCATAAGAAATGGAAAATGGAGAAGAGTTATCAGACTTCGATTCTTTTGCAACAGGTATATAAGATAGATAGTGCTGACTGTTTGACTAATTGTGATCATTCCTGGCCAAGTTAATTTTCAGCTTTTACATATGAGTTAACATAAAGTATCATAACATTTTGGGGACGGATCTTGAAAAAATTTTGGACCATTTTGAATATTACTATTTAGTTTGATTTTTTGATTGTTATGAGTACCTGGTTTATTGTTACCTGATTTCTTTTGTGGTTGGGATTGTGGGCCTGGGTTTTGTTCAACTCCTCCTCGTACCAGCAGTATCGTAATGATTTGCAGTATCAATATCATCTGTTTTGGAGATTTAACGATTCTCGATAAACGGATTGTCTTTTTTTGCCGGCCACCATTGAATGTTCCAATGGCAACTCTCCATTGCTCCATTGAGATCCCCATGTTCCTGACAAGTTGCTTTTACCTTTCTAAAACTAGATTCAGTTTTACATTTTTCTCGATAGTTATCATGTAAGTTGATAACTTTTATTGACCAGTGATCAATTATGTAATGATTTAGCGTTCAGTTTTCATCCTTTTGATTTTGAATTTTCTAATGACGACTCTCCATTTCTGAATATAATTGGCCATGTTTTTTTATTTTGTTTTGCTTTTAGCTTTCAAATATCCATTTTTAAATTTTTGTTTTTATCCACACTTTATTGATCCCTGATTACGATTTGAGTGGTAATACTTTTATATACTCAAACTGTCATCTTCAGTCATATGCATTTTTTATAAGTAACATTGTCTTGCTTAAAGGGAGACATCTCTCCAACGATTTTTAATATTGTTGTTAAAACTTTTATGTGATGTCCATTTTGACTCTTATAATGCCAAGTTGTTTGAGTAAACGCCCAGATATAATGATCTAAGAAAACGCCCAGATATAATGATCTAAGAAAATGCCCAACATGATCTCAAAACTTTAAACACTGAACAGTGCAGTTTATTTAATTGTCACAAGTGGAGTAATAAAACATTTTATAACTATTCATATGGTTTAAACATTAATTGATATCTGCAATATTTATTTTAAAGGCGTTGGAGATCTTTTTCTCAGTTTTTCATATTGAAAACACAATGAAATAAACCAAAATGTGTCAATAAAACTCTGATGTTTTGTTGTTATTCAATTTCATGTCCCAAATTAAATTGTCTGTATCTAGTTTAAAAAGAAGTATAAACACAAAATTAAAGTGAAATGTACATATTCTGGGGATGTAAGGTTGGTTTATAAAGTGAGGTACTGTAGCTATGTACTAACAAGTGGTCACTTGACTTGGTTTTAAAACTGTGAACACAAGTAAGGGTTCTGTTCTGCATACAAATGTCCTTTTTATACAGATGGGGTTTCCAGTGATTTTGTTAAGATTGCTTGTTGGGTATATGCTGTATTTATTTTGTCATAAATAAGTTCAGAAATTAGAAAAATACAAGGTGTCCAGAAAAAGATGTAAATGAGTTGGATTTATATTTTCATTGTCATGAGTTTTTCTACAAAGAAATACATTTTCTACATTTACTTGGATGAAAACAATGTTTTATTGAAAATTATTGTAGAGATTTTCAGAAGAGATTCATGGTCCAATTTATATCTACTATTACCTCCCAATTAATTACTTTACATGGCAAGGTTTTGAAAAAATCTGTCCAGACACTAGGTAGTTCTACTATAGTAAGTGTGCCCTGGTATGGTATTAAATTGACAACATTTTGAGAGGAAAATGTCCACATTGTTGTACTTCTTACAAATATCAAAGTTTACTATCAAGCAGCAATTGACTGTGGAGTTTGTCTTGTTACAGAGGCGCCACCTTTTGCACATTATATGCTACCGAGAGCCACTGAAGCAGACACCGTTTGACGATGATGACGATGAAGATGATGATATTTTTGACCAGAAGGATAGGATTACTAAAATATTACAGGTAAGACAAAGCTCTTAAAACAATTTCAAGAATGTTACATGCCATCAGTTTTTTATTGGTTGGTATTTCTTCATGTTTATTTCAATTTCAAATGAGAACATACCCTTGGGTAATTGATCAAAATGTATGCATTATTCCAAATATTTAGCACGAGTGCCGAAGAGAAGGACTAAAAATTATTACAGAACCCAGCAAGAAAAAAACCCATCTAAGAGTACACCAGTCATAAGGAAAACAAAACCCAACCATCCAAAACCATGATTTAACATAAAAGAAACATTGCTAATTCCCCCTCCCCCACCTTTCAAGTACCATTATCATAGTCCAAGGGAAATTCAAGTTAGAATTAAAACATGCCCTTAATTGTAAATTATCACTCGTGACTAAGAGAGTTGCAAACACCTTTTTTAGAATCTGGCCATGTGGTCTTTAAGAGTGAACTGGCTAGAACTACAGCTGATGTTCAAACAAGCCACTTCTATTCAGATGTCAAATCTTCTAGAGAATATCGCCAAGGCAACCATAGAAGTTTTCCAGCAGCAGACGGAGCCTAAAGGTTCAAATAAAGATGGCAGCACTAATGGGAATAATGGGAATAAGACATCAAGGTTTGATTTTACTTAATTCATCTGATTTATGATGGTATAACATGGAGAATTGGAGATTTTGGATTGCTTATTTATATTCCGTATTGTTTAATCTCTGAGAGAAGAGGACATTTAAGAGGGAGACCACTTTTTGAAATCTTAGCTTTACTAGCCAGAGTTATAACAATTGACCGAATGTAACAAAGAGCACAATTACCAAATACAGTATTTGCTATATCTAATTTATTTTATTTAAATTCCATATTGTTTAATCTCTTAGAGAAGAGGACATTTAAGAGGGAGATTTTAAGAGTATTTGCTATATCTAATTTATTTTATTTTGTTTTTAGAAATGACCAGGAAGGGAGCGTTTGGTTGGTTGCTCCTCTGATCTCCAAGTTGCCAGGCAACGTCCAGGGACGTGTGTTGAGGGCCGCAGGTCAGGTCCTCGAGAGTGGCAACAACTTCTGGTCACGTAGTAAATATGACAAGGATCGTAGTGTACAAAGAAGGTGAGTACACTTTTTGGAACTGTAAATTGTGCTTAATATATTTATCATATCTGTCATAACATCTGGTCACGCAGTGAATTGAGTTCATTATTTAAAACTGTATACAGGGCTTGTATTTATTGATTCAAGAATCCATGAAAATCTTGATAATCTGTCATGATTAATATACAGATATAAAAGCAAGAAATTATTTTAAATACATGTGCGTAAGCAAAATTTCATACATTTTACCAATGTAATGGCTGAATTGGCCCGATGGATTTATCATATTTCTGGGAATAATTCATGATTTACAGTACATCCCTCTTGAGCCACCAGCCATTCTTGTCTCTGGTATTGACATGTCTAAAAGGACAAGACGAACAGAGAGAGGGGCTTCTTAACTCATTGCATTCACAATTGATTTATTTTGATGAATAATTCATGATTTACAGTACATCCCTCTTGAGCCACCAACCATTCTTGTCTTTGGTATTGACATGCCTAAAAGGACAAGACGAACAGAGAGAGGGGCTTCTTAACTCTTTGCATTCACAATTGGAGAAGTTCCTGCAAACAAAGGATGAGAAACAATTTCCATCAGATAACAAAATTCGTCAAGTAATGAGTGAGGCCCTGCAGTTGCGCCTTAGCTTGGTAAGCTTCTCAAGTTTTGGGATAAACTTTTAATTAGATATTCTTTGAAAAGTAGACAGTGTGAAGAGGTAATAAAGAACAGCAAAGTGAGAGAAGTTCAATGGGAGCCAGGACTCGTATAGATGGCAGTTAACTACTAGGTTGTTCTCCACAACTGGCCCAATGTTTTATGTGTAAATATTGCTGTTTTGAAACTTCAAATTCTCTACATATATCAAATAAATATCATATTTTCGTTCATCATTATTTACAAACATGTTTTAAGAATCAAAATTAGAAGTTTTGGATATTTTCAATAAAATTTATCTTGGGAGATTTTTCGAACATTTTTTACATGTTAAAGTATGCTACTAAACCTACTGAGTTTTTTGCGATCTATTGACAGTCCTGAAGGCCATTTTATAATGATTGCACATTTTATTTAATAATACCAATACAAAACCAGTATAAAAGTCAATCATAAATTCACTAAACAAAGTATATTTGGAATGCTTGTATTATTTTCATACAAATTGAGCTTTATTGTGGTCCTGCTGATTTTTGTCATTGCGACTGTAGGAAACCCAATTGTTGGATTCTCTTCATATAAATACATATATTAAAGGGTACATGTTCTTGAACTTTTGTGTGGCCGTCTTGTTCCAAGGTTAGTTGTACTTTGAAATCTGATTACTATGCCAATTTATGTTTTTTAAAGGTTGGTGGAATGTTTGACACAATTCAGCGAAACAACTCTGCTACGACAGACTGGGCTCTCTTGTTTGTACAGTTGGTCTGCAATGGTGTTGTGGATACATACAACAACAGGTAATATACATGATAAAGTGTACATAGTTTATCTATGTGGCCCTTACCATGTACTCGTATAATCATATAACATTATATAATATACATATTCCATTTACATGTTTAGCTAAGTGGCCCCAAACATGTATTTTATATTTCAGTGAGCTGTTCACCAGTATAATAGACATGTTGTGTGTGATGATACATGGGACCTTAGTGACAGATGCAAACCCAGATAAAGATGACGCCAAACCATCTAGTAATGAAGGAAGAAAATTGTACCAGAATATTACAAAGAAATTACGAGTAAGAGATTTTTTATTAAGATATGCTGGGGCCCTCTCAAAATTTTATATACTTATATGGTTTGTGGACAATGAGCTTCATAATTTTTTGAGATGAATGTTATGTTATACCCTGCGTGCAGTTTAGTTATAAACTACCCTCTGCCTATTTTAGACTTTTACAGTACATTACTCGACCTATGCCCGTGACAGTCCGGTGTAAAAGGGTAGGAGGTCCTATCAAATTATGGTCCTACTCTCCATTGATTTATATGGCGACCTAAATATAACTTTTTCCCTAATTATCTTATACGCAATCAGGCCAGTAAGGGCCGTTAAGAAAGAAGACAATAATCCCTGGGGGACCATCATTTCTTTCACACCGGGTCATAAATTATTTCAAACCTACTATGCTGATCATTTCTCAACCAATTAGTGAGCTGGAAGGAACACGGGCTAAATTTGTGCTTATTACTATGCAATGATTTCAGAGGAAATTACCATATATAGAAAGTATTTTATAATTTCAGAAAGAGGTTGGTGACAAGTCCTCAGAGGGTATTAACATAGTTCGCCAACTAATACCTCTACCAAAGAAAATGTGTGAGATCATTGCTTGTCAGCCATTCGTAGATAACAAAGGTCAAAAATCACAAGGTTTTGAGAATGCGGAGAAAAAGCAGGTAATATACAATTTCAATGTTTATCGTGCGATCTGTAAAATGAAGCCCCCTGATTGGTCAGTTCATGTGCTGTACCAATCTGTATTGCTACTGAGATTGTTCCAATTGTTCATCTCCGTAGCAATACAGAAAATATTGGTACTAAGGGGACAATCTCAATACAGAGAATACAGAATATTTCCTAGAAATTATATCCTAAGTAAAATGTATTGGCTCAGGATCACAAGATAAAAACGTTATAGCATGATCACCCTATGCAGACAGAGCCTGTGGGAAATATTGGGTGCGGCGCAAATGAGCATAGGGTGCGGAGCTAACGGTCATTCTTGAATTTAAAATTGGGATATTTCTGAAACTAAGCCGTTTTGGGACTTCAAATATACCAAGATATGTGTATTTGACACCAAATATCAATAAAATTGTGAAAATAGTAGTGCAATTCATTTTATAGCGATGCAGTATACCTTAAACATTTCCCAGACCTATATATTTTGAGACTATCCTTTAATACTGCGTCCCCAGCATTCATAAAAAATGGTGTTCAAGATACACTACCCATGCAAATTATTTTTGCATCTTGGAAGCCAGGCAGAATCTGTGTGATTTTATAAAAATTCGGAAATGTTCTTCAGATATGAGCCCCCTCTAAATATTGGGTGCGGAGGTACGTTTATGGAGCTCCTCCGCACCCAAGATGCAAAAATAATTTGTATAGATAGTGTACCTTGAACACCATTTTTTATGAATGCTGGGGACTCAGTATTAAAAGGATAATTTCAAAATATATAAGTCTGGGAAATGTTTAAGGCACACTGCGTCGCTATAGAATGAATTGCGCTACTATTTTCACAATTGTATTGATATTTGGTGTCAAGTACACATATCTTGGTATATTTGAAGTCCCAAAACGGCTTAGTTTCAGAAATATCCCAAAGGATAGGTATCGATATGGAGAACTGAATTCAACAATGTTTTTCTCTTAAACCAATCATTGAAAACATTCTGTAAAAAAAACATGGTATTTTATGTAATGTTGACTGATTAACAACAATTTAATCCGAAAATTATTTAGAAATATTTGATATATCTGTTTTTGTTAACATTTTTTGTTTTTTTAGTGCAATTGTTTTTGCTCCTTTCTACCAATTCTTGAGAATGAAATAAAATGTCTTTCCGAACCTTGTTGGAACAAAATACCATATACAACATGTTTTTGGACCTCTCAATATTAAAGTTATACAAAGGAATTTTTGGTTCATTTTAAAAAAGTATTCAAAAAATTAAAACAAAATCCCCCCAAAATAGATAAAAATCAAAAAAAAACTTTATTTCATTAACAAGATACTTTTTTAAAATGAACCAAAATTTCCTTTGTACAATTACAATATTGAGAGACCTAAACATGTTGTGTTTATGTCGTTTTGTTCCAATGAGGTTCGGAAAGATGTTTCAGTTCACTCTGGAAACATGATACCAAGAACAAAACAAGTGTTTGATGTGCTTTTTAAAACAATATAGATGAAAGTATGTATATCTATTTCAAATTATATTGTTACCATTCAAAAGATGGCCATTCAATTGACAATTTGTAAGATTTTCAAAAATTTTTGATGACCGGTTTAAGAGAAACGTGTGTTCAAAAAGTTCGCCATATCGATACCCAATCTTTAAATTCAAAGATGACCATTAGCTCCGCACCCTCCGCTCATTTGCTCCGCACCCAATATTTTCCTCAGGCTCTGTCTGCATAGGGTGATGATTTGAAATTTAATACAGGATATATTGTGTTCACGATATTTTGTATTTGCACTTGACTGCATCTCTAACTAATACAGACTTTCTCAAGCACAATATATCCTGTATTGCACTTCAAATTATTCAATAACTTAAGGTATTAATATTAATCTGACTCCTAACATGTACATCTGACACTGATGGGATCTCCTGGAATATACATATTTACCAGGCTTGATTATGTGGCTTATGTATATAACGTGTGTATTATGTCAGGGTTGGCAATGTCATATACATATAAAACATACCTGGTTTTCTATGTGGCCCCTAACATGTATATTATGCCTTCAGGGTTGTCTACAAGTAGACCAGAAGATGAAGGTCAGCCCCTGGGATCTACTAGAAGGTCATAAGAACCCCGCGCCATTATCTTGGTCATGGTTTGGTGCTGTTAAAATGGAGAGGAAGCCATTGAAATATGAGGAACAACACAGGTTTGCCAAATTTTTATTTTTCCAATTTCAAAAATATGCTATGAAAAAAGACAAATATTTCATATTATTATATACCCAATATGTAACACTCATCCTGATTGGTCAATACATACTCATGGGTCATAAAATAGAATTACTATTTCCTGCCAAAAGTTCTATTCCCTCAAATGTGAGAAGCGGGAATATACATTTGAACTATTGCCCGCTGACGTCACAATTGCAACTTCTTTTACCCCAGGAAACGTCTGTGCATCGTCACTGCGCACACGAAAAACAGAAAAATGGAGAAAACACACAGACATAACTCTGTTCACCATGACACCTGTGCGTGAACTAAACAATATTGGCAAGATGGGTAAAGTTCCCTAAGATCAATATGTCTGTGTAATTTCAAATGTTATTATTCCGAGTGAGAGTCTCAGAAATCCAGAAATCCTTGACGAAAAAAATTCTGTTGAGCATATCATGACATCACAGGTTTTAATACTTAGTTTTAATGCTAACAAAAATATGGACCTGGGGGCCTGGCTGTCCTGCTGAAATAATAAATCATTATTGGGTATATAATAAAACAAATACTGTAAAACATGTTAAATTCGCGAGCATCTTGAATTGCGTATATTCGTGTGGTGTAAAATTGCGAATTCAGGATCCAGTGAATTAAAAATAGCACATCACATTTTTCCTGGGCAATGTGAATGAAGAATAAAATATACTAATATACAATATTTCTAAATGTGTTTTGTTCCCCTTATTCAAGTGTTGTATGCAATTATAAAACAAACGTGAAAACAAACTTAGAAGTCATGTTGAAATATATTTGTCCATTGCAATACTGCATGCTATGTTTTAAACAATAAAACAATTGTACTTTATGAAGTTAGTTAAAAGCAGAGTTTGTTGTTTTAAAATACCATCATAAATCATAAAACTGTCATAATTGTGTTCAGGTAAAACGATAAAGTAATGTGTTGAGAAATCGTCATAGTAATAATTTAAGATGAGGTAAAATGTTGAAATTATTCTTTCCCCTGGGACTTGATTCCTCCATTCACACATTCAAATCAACGGGTATTAACTCATGACAAGAACGTTTCTTTCTAGGATTATGTTTATAATTAGGTATGATGAGTTTTATTTTCAATCGAAAAACAACAGATGGCAAACGTACCTTGTTAGTTAACAAGATAATACCCCAAGATACAACCAATTAGAATATTAATCCAAAACAATCATATCTTACACTAAATATTTTCTGAGACAGGTTTTATTCCTTATCACATTACAATGCAATTTGACAATTAATAGTTGGTAACATTAATTTTACAACACAGAATTGATTTATTATTCGCATATTGTGGTGGTAAATAGTGAAAACATGAATATGGGAATTGAATCAAATGTACAAATCGGCGAAAATTGCTCCCACGAATTTAAAACTTTTACAGTAGTGACTGCCTAATTTCGAGCAATTGTGTAAATGATTTCCCCTTGGGAATATCCTCTAAAATGTACCATTCCCTCAGCCTGCAGCTTCGGGAAAAGTATATTTTAGAGGATATTCCCTTGGGGAAATAATTTACACTATTGCCCTCAATGGCAGTAACTATTTGTATACTGTTGAGAGGAATACCTGTTTTTCTTTCAATGATTTTAGCATGGTCTATCGATCCTTAAAGTCCAAAGATTAATTTCTCTTTTTTGTACATTTAATTGTATTGTCTGCGTAAATTACACAGTATTCTTTCCTTTTCCTCATTGGAAATCTCCTTGAACTTATGTTTGTCTGACATTTTTCATGAAAACGGCACAGCTTGTGAATATGTCTTATTGAATACGCCTAGAAACTAGTAAAACAGTTTGTTAGTTGTGTAAAAATGTCAGAATCTTGGGCAAATCATTAAATTCTTGAGTGAGAAAAGCATAAAATACTTTAATATTGTTTATTACATATTACATTGTTATCGACAACTTTATCTAATATGATGTTTCGCTCGTTAGATACTTGACATATTGGTCAGCTATAGATAAAAGGATATAAAAGGATGTAAGGCCACCTTAAAATTTCCTAATGTATGAAAGCATTATTTTGTATATTGATATTTATTTATATTTTGTTTGTTCTAGGTTACTGCTGTATCACACTCATAATCTTGAAAAGCCAGCCAGTCATTATTTGGATCCCCCAGTATTACCCCCTGAGGATTTAGAACCACCCCCAGATAAACAGGTGAGTCCTTTCTTGCCCTCTTCCGCCCCTTGTCTGACCCACTGAAGATCTAGAACCATCCCCAGATAATAGGGTGTGTCCTTTCTTGCCTTCTTCCGCCCCTTGTCTGACCCACTGAAGATTTAGAACGATCCCCAGATAATAGGATGTGTCCTTTCTTGCCCCCTTTTTTCACCCTCATTGAAAGTTCTCCATTTAATATTTTGCCGAACTTGTAGATAGTTTCAGTAACAAACATCATTGTTTGAGATATCTGCGTCCTCTCATACAAGAAAGCCTAGACTAAAGCTAAAGGCAATTCAATTTAAAGATCAAAGCTTAAGCTTGTCTAGAATTGTATAAAGAATATTTTTTTGTGTCCAAGAACTGTAAAAATAAAATGGTAAAAACAAAGCTAAGGAGAAACCCCAAGCTTGTATAAAGTGAATTAATTTGTCCATCCCCTAGATAAATATTTGTGTCTCTTATTTAAAGGAAAAAGCCAAAACTCAAACTGAGGAGAAACCTCAAACAGGTGTGGAATCAGATGATGGCAAGAAACCCACCAAGAAAAAGAGAATCAAGCGTGTCCCATCAGGAAGTCGCAATTCTTCCTATATGGACGTCACTGTAAGTTCATGTTGGTTTGATCTGTCACTATCAAGGAGAAGCAACATATTGTAGCCAAAGTGATTTTCTGACCTTATAATTTTTTTACAGTTAAAACACTATTCCATAATTTATTTATAAAATTATAGGTCAATGTAGCCTCGAAGTCACGATAAAGATCCTTTGTTTCCCATCCCACTCCTTTATGTCTTTCAAAAATTGACCAATCAGAACTCCATAGGTCACAAAGTTTGTGCATACTTCCCAAAAATAACACTTGATATTATATTATTTTATATATGGCCTGTTTCCAGCATATGTTGTCATTCTCAAAGCATGATTGTAAAATTTGATGATTAAGCCTACCCTAAAATCATACGATATATTTTAACTACAAAACTTTCCATTTAACCTCTACATACCCATGCTTATTTTTTATTCAACATGGTGAATATTGAGTTTATCCTATATCGATAATATATTCAATGCTAACCAAGAAACAGAGTTTAGTACAAGATTATCGGTCCAAGAACCTACCCTTTGAAACTACAAAACTGACAATTCCAACTTTCAAGCCCCATTTAAATTATAAATGTAAGTCCCCCTCCCCCTACCAATGAAGGTATTTAAATGAAGCAAAGGTGGAATAACAGACCAAAAAACACCGCCATAGCGCCTGGTATGCATCGCCTAGTAAGCACATGCGTACCAGATGGTTGCAAACACACTCCAAATACAACCAAACTTTTTTCTTTGGGGGAACCGCTCTAGAGCCCCCTGAATGCTCATTTTTTGCTTCGCTCAACTCATGCTCCCATGGTGGCATACAACTCATAAAAATAGCGCTACATGTACACTCATGAAATGTGAAAATACTCCATTCTAGTTTTGTAAAGTGTCACATTTATTCTATTCTAGAGTCCGAGAAGTTCAACATTTTACAACAATGAGCCAGTAATGTACCAGCAGCCCCAGACAAATAGCTGGGGGTCATACAACCAAACCCCCATGAATCCACCTTATTATGGTCATGGCCAGCAGTTGCCACCTGGTAAGTTCACACTTTATCATACATGCAAAATGGCATGGATTCATAAAATGTCCGTCTGCTTATGACTTTATTTTTATTATTACTCTTTAGAATTTGAATAAAGTGTCTAATTTTCTGATCATTTTGTAAAATTCAGGGTTTGATATAATGCATTCATGCTTTACTCCTTGCTGATTTCTCTCCATTTTACTTGATTTAGGATTTCAGAATTTTGTCCTCAAATGTCCTACAATCAAGGTTGATCAGTACAGTATATTATTTTTGAAATAGGATTGACATTATTGAGATAAAATATGTAGGTGACCAGATCCTTTAAAACACATGTATAGAGATATATTTTCTGATTACAGTGGAGTAGAATAAGCAAAGAATAAACTATGTAGCTAGGTTTAAATATGTTAGATGTGTTGTAGCAAATTAGCAATGTCATTAAGAGTGAAATGTGATTGTGTGCTTTTGTGAAACTGAGTACATGTACACGTATAAGAATTAAAAGAAAATTGCTCTCAAAATGCATAGAAAACAAAATGGCATTTTAGAGCAATCTTTAAGTATGAATCACCCTCACAGGCACTTACAGAACATATGTTCAGTGGTTTATGGTGACACAAATCCCTAAAGATCATCTTTAACATTAAGAGTGTAAACTGACCTGATCAATTGTAATATTGAATACAAAACCACCATGTCCGTCCATAATTAATGGATAAAACAGGAGCAATTAAATAGTGTCATACAACTTTATGAGTGATGTCGTCAAATACAAATACAACTAGAGACACCTATCTTTGACTTAAAGTCTCATATTTGTAATATCACATGACAGTAGCCAACATATATTATGATAGCTAATTGCAAATTTAATCATAGCGAATTACTCTCAGCCAATACACTTGATTATTATACTGTTCATTATTAAACAACAATGAACAATTTTATCTCTTTCACATCTGGATTCAGAGTTTGATATTGTGAGGTCATTCCCACCTCAGCACAAAATCTTTTTGTTTACATGTATTTTGACCATTTCGCCTTTTTGGGCATCTTGCTTCATCAAGCTTCGGACCTATCTGGATCCTCACCCTGATCCACCGCAAATTATTGGTAATACACTAAATAAACAAACCCCAGCTGACACTGTGCAAAATGTGCGGTATCTCTCGTTTTATTTCAAGAGAATTGGACAAATAGTTTGTATATATCTCTAGAATCCCCCAAAATATAGTTAGATATGATATATCTGATACGGACAAATTTGCGTATCGAACCAGTTCTACTTAACTATTTGATGGTATGCCACAGAATAGGTCTCATATTATACCCGTGGTAATCAGGAGATTTGCTAACTATATTATACATCTTCCATCTATAATCTTAAAACACTGACTATACTTTACTATTCATACAATATCGGACATGAAGAACAAGAGATACGCTGCCTATTCTGTGCTAAAAACAGCAGATATCAGCTTATATCAGGAGATACTCTCATATCAGACTTCCCAAAACAGGAGATACGGTAACTATACGAAATGACGTCATCAAGTCTCATTATTTGCAATGCTAATTTGGTTACATCACTTATCTGGCTTATTAACAATTACTCCGGTAGTTAAGTCATTAAATAAACAAATAGGGAGAATCTGAATCATATTCTTTATCTCTTGTTTATCAATAAAGTTTAATGTTAATAAAATAAAGAACTGTAATTTTAGCACCTAGGTTTTAAGAAACGTACAGCATTCTTCGGTACATACTGTACTGCTAATAATAATTTATTATTCAATAATTAATCCGTATGTTAGGGTTAATAGATAATCTCTACAGCTGATGGCTCTTAATTCCACAAAAATAATTTGCAAAATAAGTTTTTTTCATATATATTTGATTGTATGATGTCCCTCATGTTATGTTTAACATTGTGTTAAATTTTTGATTCAATCAATTAAATCATTGTAAAGTTAATTTTTGAATTTTTAATCAATAAGTTTTACTCACATTTTTTATTCCATTGTTTCTCTGTCACATTAAGTTTATAACAAACAACATTTAAATCCCCCTCTAACACAGGTACTAACAACCATTCATTTTGCCAACCAAAACAACAGTCATAACACAGAACTGCTAAATATTCAATAAACACATTGTGCATTTTATACAGACCTGTTCCTAAGGACCCCCCTCCCCGTGGCCAACAATTCTTTCAAAATTATGTAGTTTTTCACCATTCACATACATACAGGGTGTCCCAGAACTCATGAGAATTTTTTGAGGGAGATATAAGGCATGGGTGATTTTTCTTTAAATTTGGTACACTTATTAAACACACTTTGGGCAATAACTGACATGAATTTAAGGCACATATCTTTTATATTTCCGAATTTATTGACATTTGAATTATACATCGCCACAAACCCCGGAGTTACCAGGGAAAATACAACAGTTTATGTCACATTTTGTCAATTTTATACAAATTCTCAACTATAAAACCAATGTTTTTTGTGTAAGCTTAGTTCAGCATTTTTCTCATATTGATGATCCACTTTGATAAAACGATATATAAACTTTGATAGAGACCCAATACATCAATAGATTGTTCGTTTGGTTTGCTGAAAGATCATAATGACATGTTCCTGAGGGACTGAAAGAAATGTCCCCATTTGCTAGCCAATGTGATCTTGCATATTGACAATGCACCAGTGAATAAGTCACTAAATGCATGTCTGTAGTGCATCCATTTTACTTTCTATTGAGACTTTACAGTATATAGTAGCTCCATATACTTGCCAGATTTTGCTCTACTAGACTTTTCACTTCTTTGGGGACCTTAAACAAAGATTAGTGGGCCATGTCACTGAAACGGAGGAAGAATTGAGTCATGTTGTTTCAGAGGACCCTACAGAAATGGCTATTGGACGATTTGGGAATGTGTATAAAGAGTAGCTGAAAATATGACATGAACTGCAGATAATATGCTATAATAACTCTGTAGAGATGCGTCAGCTGAATGTGTATGATCCTATTAACTAATGTACTGAAACTCTGAAATAATTCAATGAAAACAATGCTATTAGGGTAGAGAGGTTGTATAAATATTATCAAAATGTGACGTAAATTGTTGTAATTCTCTGACTACTCCAGGGTTTGTGGCGATGTAGAATTCAAATGTCAATAAATTCGGAAATATAAAAGATATGTGCCTGAAATTCATGTCAGTTATTCCTCAATGTTTGTTTATTAAGTGCACTTAATTTGAAGGGAAATCATTCATGCCTTATATCTCCCTCAAAAAATTCTCATGAGTTCTGGGACACCCTGTATATTGACATTCCAGAGCAATATAATAAGTCAAACTTTAATCCCTAATTATTCAATTTCTATGATTTGAGTTTTGTTCACATTGATAGATAATCTGTTTGTTAGAGTTAATGGATTAATTTCTACAGCCGATGGTTCTAATTTCAACCGAAAAATAATTTGGTATGTTTTGAAAATTGATCCTCTGGGGTAAAACTTATTACGAGCCTGTAATATATTGGATGTGTTGCTCCAATTTCTTCTGACAACTGTGATAATAAATTAGGAAACATGCATTAAATTTGCATGATACAAGTGGTGTTAAGCCATGCTAAAACAAAAACTTGAATTCTCTCACATTTTACAATTTATTTACTCTGTTATCAATATAATATATGAGATATAAACCAGGGATATAAACAACACATTAGTCCATGATGTAATACATTTGTTTCTACTACAATTGGACCATTTCTTGTTATTACAGCTAGTTTTATTAACCTTTCTTTGTTTTCCATTTACAAACATACATGTATATATATTCAAAAGGTGCGAGATTCGGTGTGTTTAGTTGTTTGATAATGAAAATAAAGAAGCGGGTACATTTTACATTAATTCCTAATGTTTCATCTGACAAAGTGATGATTACACTTTGAGCAAGTTGGAGCATGGTAGAACAAACTGATTTAAATAACATATTGACATACAGTACACACTGTATGTACAGAGATCGCCTAGTATTAAAAGTGGGTGATCAAAGACTCGACAAGATGCGCAAAATCCAAAATGTCGGAGGAAAGGTATGTTTGTTTGTCTTCTCTTTACCAGTTTAAAGTCATTTTACCTACAGATGGTATTTCATATGCTGTATAAGAAACTCAAGATTCATTTGGTAACAGGATGCAGTGATTAAAGTGATTAAATCAACCGAAATACCTGAACTGAGTTGATAAAAGAAGCAAAATCAAAAACCCGTCGAACGAAAATGTAATTTTTCACAAAATTTTCTGTTTTTAGATTGCCAAAACCACAAAACCAATTTCATCTATGGTTAATATACATAAAACTTAACATCACATGCATATCAGACGTTCCAACTCCCCTTCAGTATCGAGTAAGGAGGATGTTATAAAAAAAATTATGATCAGCCATGTGAGTGATTTTACCATGTGGATTCTAATGATATGTTCTTTGCATTTCAGAGTGGTTGGATTTACATGTTTCTATTGTCCTTCACTACGAACTGTCAAATTTCAAAACATTATAAATCACCTTATAGAACACCATGAAGATGAAGAGATGAAGATGAGAAAGAATATTGAAAATAGAGGCAAATTTAGAATGATTACAAGAAATTTCTCAGGAATAATACCAAATGAAGTGAAATCAATAAATAAACACATAATTGTAGAAAGTGATGAATTTATGACAATTTCAGTGATTGACAATGGCCTAAACTGGAACTTTTCCTCAGCCCCATCCACATAACGCTGTCTAGAATAGCATAGTATTTATTTCACACTTTGTTTCTCTAAAAACTCCCACTGGGCGTTTATTTTGCATTCGATTACATACAATTCTAACATTTTCAAGCTAATCACCTATACACCTTAGTAGAAAATTGATCAATAAATCTTCTGAATATTGAACTATAGAGCAGCTTTCCCCTATACCTATCATTTACATATGACCCAAGTTAGCCA